AAACAATTAATGAATCAGAAACTAAGTTAGAAAACCTAAGACATGAATTTTGTGAAGAAGTTTTATCAAAAAACATTCATGAACTTAAAGGCAATATGGAGCATGTCAAAGAAAACTTGACATGTTTGCAAAACAAATTTTTGCAAACACAAAATTTGTCTGATTTTTGTAAAATGAATAGAGTTGATAAAGATATACTACAGCTACTTTTAAGTTATTTCCAAGAAAATGACTATAAAAATATTCAACAGAAAGCAAATGAATTATTTCAAAAAGCTGGATTGTGTAAACAAAAATGTAAAGAACTAAAAAATTTTTTGTAGCTACAATATTTCTAATTTGTTGTTGTTTTTCAATGATACCTACTTTGTTAATATAATTTGACATTTAAATAAATACTTTTTGAAAATATTGCTATTTTTTAAGTTCGGTCTTGGCTTTTGTGGAGCGCGCATCGCTTATGAAACAGTATGAATTAGGTATATCCGACTTTACGGCCCAAAAGAGGCAAGATTGGATTCCCGGAGTAGAAATTTCTCGATAATATTCCTCGAATGGACCTTTTATAAAGGAAAATAAATAAATTTATATTTGAAGGTTATATGGTTCCACTACTTGTGAATTGTTAAAAGGGCCAAGAAGGCCCAGACCAATTTACTCTTGTAGAGAAAATAGGAAAAATACCAAAAAGAATAAGAATTATTTTTTTGATCATTAATGTCTTTATAGTGAAATCCATCTAGGTATCTAAACTGGATTTGATTTTAACTAAAGCTTAAGTTCTTCTTCTTCTACAAATTTATTCTCTCATTCGAGAGAATTGGTCTTGAGTCAATTAAGCTCTTACTGACCAGATACAAGTTTTAACGTCAATGCGCTTCATGAAGCCATCCACCTACAGACATGTGAATTTTCCAATCTTGAAACATCCACTAAATCTCTCGTACAAATCACAAAATACCTCGCTAGGAGGTCAAAGCTTGCGATATTGTCAAAAAATACAGGTATATTTCTATACCGTGACCCCCATTTGGACCCTCCCAGGTCTAGAAGTCACTTATTTTTCACTACTCTTTCATAGATCAACCATACTCTGCCAGCACCAAAATGGAAGGCCTAAAGCTTAAGTTGACAATCTTAAGTCAAGGAACTTAATTAAAAAAATATATTTTCATTTGTAAATCTTGACACGCCCGGGCGTCATACCTACAAATTGGAGAACCTTCATTAACAGGGTCTTTACTACCAATATACCATTTATAACATCGTGACGTCACGCTATAGCGTGCTACCGAGAGAATTTATAGATTTTCAGTCATTTTTAGACAAAAATCTCAACCCCATTCTTAAAAGATTTTAAGGAAAAAGTTCAGATTACTTATAAATCCACAACCGCTTTAATTTGGATATAATTGGCGTTTAAATAATAGCTTTTGTTCTACAAAATAAGGTATGTTTAAATTATATTGCCTACTACGAAAAGTCGTAGTTGTCAATGTGGTCGCCGCGTCGGAAATAGTTATTTTTCATGCTAGATTGCACTTTCCGCACGCCGTAGAAAAAATATTGTACCTAACACGCGCGTAAAGTTTTTTCCGCCCTTGACTGCAGTGCTGACCGAACACCTATAGGTAGGTACACGTCGCACGTACGGGTATTCAATATTAAAAGCTGGCAAAAAATCGGAAAAAGATAATACAAGTCCCCAATATTAAATGTCATTTTCTAATATTTGAATAGTTATAACGTTAATCTATAGCCTTTTTGGTTTCCCAGACCATTGTGAGTCGGTATAGGGTATTTCCTCGAAACCTTATCCCACCTTGACAAAAAATCAGATGTGTTATTTAACAAAATAACAATTATATCAGAAGTCAAATACCCTGCTTAAAATACCCCATAGAGACCCTGTTCAAACCGATAGATATTTGTATCGGAATGTATGGTGTTTCTATAGGATGTATCGGTATGTATAGGACCCATAGTTGGGATTTATGGTTGTTCTATGGGGATATCCACCCTTTATTTATTTGCTATTGGTTTCAATGGAGAAAATACACATAAATGTAGAAATTAGTTTTTCCCCCATAGGACCCCATAGGTTTTAATAAAATTTTGTTAAATGTTTTATGGTTGTTCTATAGGGATATCCCTATATATTCTTCATTCAGTTATTTGCTATTGGTCTCAATAGGGAAAATGTAAAAGTTATAGTGTACCTATAGGCAGGGGCGTGCTGGGCCGCCGGAACACCGGGAGAAATCCCGGTGGGCCGGTGGTCCGGAGGGCTAAGTGGGCCGGTGTGCCGGAGGGCTATGTAGGCAGCATGCCGCAGCACGCGGTCAATTAAAAACTTTTTTAGTTGAGTTATGTATAAATATCATAATTATTTTACACATACCATGCATGCCAGCCATGCCAGCGCCCGATAGAATATTTTATATAGGTCTCTATGGGGTATTTTAAGCAGGGTAGTTTAATTGCGACGTAATTTATAACCTTAAAATATTCGTACATTGTGACGCTAAGAAGCTAATATTAAGAATAAATACGGAAGAGTTTTAATACTCGATAAAATGTTCAAATGTCGCACCCGTTATTTTTTGAGAAATTTTTAGAAAATAAAGTGTACCTACAATATTTGTTCATTTAAAATACTTGATTGTTTAAGGTTACTATTCAAGTTTTACACAAAAAATTACTACTATATGCTTTCATCCAAAAGTTTACAGTATTAACTTTAGAAGCCAACTTGGTCGCATTTGCCGATTTTCTAAGGTCGCGCCCGTTACGCTATTCATTACGTTATAAAAGGTTTTCTATACAAGTTTTTATTGACATTTTGTTTGAGTTAAATACCAAATTTTTTATACTTTTGTTTTATATTAACGTATTTTGATATATATGAACAAACACGCAGTTTTAGAGTCGCACCCGTTACAATGGAAATGCCCTATACCTACTTCAGTTGGAATTTATTGTTCGTTTTTATTGCAGGTTACTTTTTTGGCGACAACTAAAAACACAACTTTGTTTTGGCTTTGTGATTATTTTTTGTACATGGGGTGATTATTTTTAACATAAATTTTAAGTAGTTGGTAGTTCTTTTAAAGTAAAATTTGTATGTTTTATATTAATATTTATACCAATTACCTAATGGTTATTGAAATGATTACAAAAAAATAACATCAAGTTTATTTACTTTTAAAAAAGAAATAGTGTTTGAATATTATTGTCCAGGTGAATCAAGGCAACACTTTTGGATCAGTATAATATATTATATATATGTATATTGGGTACCTACCTACAATGTAGGTCCTACATCAGCTATTACAAAAATTCACCCCTCCTCACCCCTTCTTTTTTAATTAGGTACATTTTGGTATCATGGTGTAAAATGGTTGTTTAAGAAAAGAAAAATTATTTCCAGAAACGAAATAAAATATGAAAAATATTTTGCTAAATCAGCTTTAAACATATATTAAGTATACTTTAACAAACCCTTAGGCATATTAACACATAGATTTTTTATCTATATACCGGGTATGCATTTATAACATAGAGAATACATGGTCTTAAGTCAAAATTTAAACGCTTGCAGCGCGGCCCCTAGGCTTTGAAATGGAAAAAAAAATTGTGTTTATATTTAGGTCTCGCAGAGGTATATCATATCCAAATTTAAACAAATTCAATAATAAAATAATTTTGGCCAACTTTTTTAGTGTGCGTCGTTTGTTCAACGGCAGTAGCGTGCAGAAAATAAGCACTTTCCGCACTAGTTAAATAAGTATTAGGCACTCTAGGAATAAATTGTAATGTTAGTATTAATATTAATAACAATAAAAATTATTTGGTTTCTTGAATAAAAATTATTTAGGTAATTTAGGTAGTAGGTATGTTCTGATTTAATTTTACTGCAAAACTAGGAGTGCAAAAAAATACCTTTTAGAACTGTCAAAAATGACCTACTTTTGACATTAAAATATCTACAAAGCAGACGTTTTGACAATGGTATTGGAAAATAGTTATTTATGTATCAAGGCAGTAGTCGTATTTTTTATCACAAATGTGGAAATTATTTGTTGAGGCAAATAACCACGTGAGCGATAAAAAATGACTTTAATGCCGAGGTGCATATTAAATTTTATCCGAAATCACATTTTTATACTGTTGTTGTTCTGTTCCTTGTTACCATGGACTCGCGTCGTGAGACGGCCGCCCAAAAAAAGTGTTCAATAAAAGGTGCACACATATAGGTTATCTTAACCTTGAAATTTATTAGCTTTATATAAATTCCTCTTATCCCTTGTAAAAGGGCCCCCCCCAGGTGCAGAAGTCACTTATATTTCAACAACTATTTCATAGAGCAACCACATTCTATGAGATTCAAAATGGAACTGATTTTTTTTTAATACTAATAATTAATATTGATGATTAAATCAAATGTCATTTGAATGTAGGAAGTGTCTACGTATACTGTTTGTTGCGACGGTTATTATCTATTTGCCCGCCACGTCGATTTTTTAATCTAATTAACAACATTTTATGAAAGGGTCCAAGCGACCGTCGCGACGGTGCTTATTTTAAATATTATTTAGTTGCTGCTGAGGAGCAGTAGACACATCTTAAAATGTATAATGGGTTGCATACAAATCGGCAGTAAAGTTCTACCATTGACTCAATGGTTCTACTTCACTGCCGATTGTTGACTACTTTACTGCCGATTTCGGATAAAATATTTTATTTTGACAACGCGTTGAAACGGTTCAAAAATAAAGTTATTTTTTTTAAATTAAATTGTAAACCGATGTAAAACAATACAACATACAAATTACTAAACATACCGACATAGTTTGTATAAAAAAAATAATAAAGTATTGATTGATTCGATACCATTGCCAGAATTAAAATGGAATTAATATTAAGTAATGACTAATTTGATTGTTTGTATGCATCATGTTCAGTCACACATAATAGTTACCTGGTAGCATAATAATTACCTTTTCCTGGAACGTATCAAACAAGGCGCGAATATTATTTTTATTATCCCTGTAATCACGTTCAACAGTTTCCTTAACGGTGATACGAATTTGCGTCTCCAAATTATCTCTGTGGATGTAACCCCAAACTCCAGCTGATACTTGAGCCACAACAATAATAAGGAGGAAACAGAAGCACTAAAAAATATTATTTAGCAACAATTTTATATTTAGGTTATTCCATGCCACATTGACTAATCAAGGGGTTTTTATTTTTAAGGTTCCTATTTAAATTAACATAGTTTTAAACATAAAATATACCGTCATTAAAAATACCGGCCCACTGTGGGCCCAATGTCCAAACTAGGTTGCATTAATTCAATTTTTTTTCTATTTACTTAAAACTTTAAAAATAATTAAACTTTGAGACTAACCAATGCTGGTAATTAATTATATAATTTATTTTTTAATTTTCCAGTGTTGCCACATTGGTATTTTTGGAAATTAATTTATAAAATTCAACTAGTGTAACAAACCATGCCAACGTTATCTACGGATCAAAATAAGTCGATTTAACTCAAATTACCTATATACTAAGTTGCTTAGTTTAGTCGTTAGAGGCCTTTAAAGTTTTAAAAAATAACTATTTTTTTAAATATCTTAAAAACGAATTAATGAATTTTGAATATTTTTCGAATGTAACTTTTAACTACCAATTAACGTCGTTTGGTGCTACACTCAGTTATCTTTAAAAATTAGAATAATCAGAAAAGCAAGGTAATTTTCGCTTGTATTTTTTTTACTGTTGCTCACTTTGTTAAAAAACTTTTTGTCTCTTGTAAAAGTTGGATGAGCGGTTTAGCCAGAAAAAAATTATTTTGTAATGTCTGCATACATACTATCGATATATCGCGATAGTTACTATGTTTTATCCCGAAAATTATTGAACATATAAAGCTAGAGATTCCTTTTCTGAAAATAGTTCAATTTGACTCAACGCAGTTGCTTCGTGTAGCAGATAAAAAGTGAAATACAGAGTGTTGGTAATAGGTAAATGGTGTATAAAGAGGAGGGTTTTCGCATATTTTTTCGGTCACTTCCGGTTTCACCGGAAATGGGTCCAGGTTCAAAAAATTAAATAGAAACCCCTGTATAAATTTTCATTCTCGGATTCTTAACATAATTCTGGACATAAATGTGATTTTTTAATGCCTTTTGAGCAATTTTTAACAATGCATCTAGGCCACCTTGATGTAATATAAAAAGAATAAGTAGGCGTAAACACTTTTAACAAATATTAAACGCCATGTAAGTATATAATTTGCTCATTGCCCAAGCAATACATGCGATAAACAACTTAAAGATGCATATTAATTGGTAATATTTTCTTTTCTCAGAGGTTTACATTTTTGACTGGGATAAGTTTCGCGATTTTTTGCGATTTTTTTGGTTAACAGTTTTTAGTAGTCTACATCTTTGTCTAATAAAAAATATATATTTTGGCTTGGCATTCGTTGGCCTTCCTATTTTTTTACTCTGCAAAACATAAAAAATTAAATATTCATGTTAATTACCTTATCAGTTCTTGCCAAAAGCAAAAAAAAAACACGAATTTTCTATAATTTTATGTATCCAACACAACTAATTGACAGGTCTAATGTCAGTTAAGAAATGTTTAAGACGACTTTTGCTATTCACGGCCCTCTAAGCTATAAAAAAAAATCGCAAAAATCGTAGTTTTAATTAAAACGATTGCATTAAAAATAGACTTTCTTTTAAAGATCTGACATTGGGCATTTATAAAAAAGTGTTCGTAGAGTATTTTCAAAAAGCAATTATGTTTTTACAAGTTTGAATATGTTTTTAATAAAACAATAGTGGCAAATTATACATTTTCAATAATGACTTATTGCAACCTAGTTTGGGCATAGGGCCCACAGTGCGGCCTAAGCAATCATATTTTTCGTTAAAGACAAAGATTAATGCCTAATTTTATTCAAAAAGTCATAATTGCAAACCCTATTAAAAATGCCATATAGAAACACAAAATAAAAATCTATCTGGTTCAATATAGGAATTTGAAACAGGCATTGCACTATTGAACCAGATAGAATTCCATACCTGGAAAACCATATAGAAAAGTGATTTCTATATGGATTGCCATATAGGTTCATATTGCTCTATCTGGCCCAATATGGTTTGGGTATGAAAAAATTATTACCATATAGATCCATATTAAACCATATAGAGGAATCTATTTGGTTTAATATGCAATTTTCGTTTAAATAAATATACATTTTAAAATGGAATTCCATATTCAAACATATAGGGAAATCTATATGGAAAGACACATAAAACAGAAACCAGATAAATCCATATAAAAATCCCTAAGTTTGTACATTTTAAAATGAAATTCCATATTAAACCATATAGATTCCAAAGTGTAAACCAGGTCGTTCCATATAGGACATATAGAACCATATAAATCCATATTAGTTTCCTTATCTGGATCAATATGGGTTCTATAGGGCATTTTTAATAGGGAAATAATTAGCAAAAAATAGTAAGGATATCTTCCCTAAATTTTATTTTTATATTATCAACTTTTTTGCATTTAGGCCTTTCAGGATTAAAAAAAAATTAATTTCGTACTAATATTTTTGCCAAGTATCCATATGTATATATTTCAGTAAAAACAAGACTGGAATTTAAAAACCATTTATAAGAAAAATCAGCTTATTTTAAAAACACGATTTGTCAATTTGGTATGGAATGACCCTTTTAAATTTAATTTATTTATTACCAAAACAACCCCCCATCTTCTTTCCTTAATGGTGGCCCATATTCCAAGGGCTCCAGCAAAGAAAAGGATAATTGAAGCAACAAGAAGGATTATTACAGAAATAGTAGCATCACCAGGATTTTGGGTGAATTGAAATGAGAATGTTGGATCAACCAACATATAAACTGAACCAGCAATTCCTGCTATCCCAAACACCTGAAATAGTAAAAAACAAACAAATAAATTATTTGAAATTACGATCAAATTATGAAATTTTTAACACAAATAAAATATGCAAAATTTAACCTTCTTTAGTAAATTAATTAATTATGCAATCTAATTATGTTTCCCAAAATTATAATTAAGTACAAGTATTTGAAAGAATGTGTGTAAGTTGTGTAAGTTGGAGGATCAAAATAGCACAAAAACAAAGTGGATTTTGTCAGTAGGGGGTAGGGGGTGTTAGTGAGTAATTTTTGGGATGACGTGATGTGGATGGAGGGGTGTGCAAAATTTGAAATGAGGTGTGCAAAATTAGGAGATTATGACGGAAGGCTAATTTCATATCAAATCAACCAAAAGTTGCTCTTCCCATTGAAAAACGAATTTTTTTATTTTTCTTGAACTAGTTTTTCTTTTATGGATTTTTTAAAATCAAGAAATTTACCAATTTGCTTCTGCAGGCTCTTAAAAAACAGGTATATCTCAGGAACTGCTCGTCACAGAGCATTGAGTAATAGCTTAACAATTGTTTTAAAGGTCTTTAGAAGCCATTTCAGATGATGTTTTACATGGTATACTTTATCTTAAATAGGTGGGAATTTTTGAAAAAAAAAATTGTAAATTTCTCAAAAACCATTTTTAATTTTTTTCAAAAAAATATATCGTTTGTATCAATTAAGAATGGAGAAATGATGGAATAATTGTAATAATCTTTTTTTAAATATCCTTACATAGCAAAAATAACGGTTTTATTTTAAAAATAGGACATATTATAATATGTTGTAGCTTAAGTTAATATATTCATATATTATATTATATAATTATATTATTAATATATTCATATATTATATTATTAATATATATTAACTTAAGCTACAACAAAAAATATATAAGGTATAAAAACAAATAAAAATAACTTTATTTTTTTGTTTTATTTTTTTTATAATTTTTGAAAGTAATGGAAATTAGTTTTTTAAGAAGTTTCCAACATTTCTTTTTTGGTTAAGGTATAAGTTTAATCTGTACCAATAACAGGCTGAACTTTCCTCAATATTGTATCTTTATGAATTATTATACTTAAATTTTCTTATACTCTTCATTCTTTTCAATTGTAAAAGCTAATCACCAAGAGCTCCAAGAGCCCTTATGGTAACAAAACCAGATTTAATAAACCTTAATTCAGAATTAGTTATTTGGGCACATTTAACAAGGTCTTGAATATGTTGTTCCAAGCTGAGAGAAACTGGAATCAAATCTTTTCATAAAATAAGAAAAAATTGTCGCTATTGCAGGACTTAAAAGTGATTCCTGGAATGTTTTCTGTTGCAACCTGATAATTTGTTGACCTTTGCAGGCTGGCTTTGCTGGTCAACCTTTTTACTGTACCCCCCCCCCCCCCCCCGTCGCAGGCATTCTTTTTATGCGTCCTGGCAAAAAAATGCCACTCTGCCTGAATTCCAAATTCTGTCTCATGTCATGTCTCATAGATTAATAAAGTTTTTTTGTTTTTATACTGTGCTGCGTACCCATCAGAGAAATAAAAGATTTTGGAAAGATTAAGGTTTTTTTTTCTACTCCCACCTTTAAAACGCCCTTTATCGTACATGTTTCCATGACACTAAGTGACCTTTTAAATACACATTGACAAATTGTGGCTTTACGGCGCTTTAGTCACGGGCTAAAGTTAGCAACAGGTTTTTAGTCACGGGCTGAAGTTAGTTTTAAGTTAGTTGACAGTTGTCAAATGTCATACAATCGTTAAAATAAATTTCCTTTCTTGTAAAATAATACTTAATGTGAAAATTATTTTATTATCTCAATAAAAAATACAAAAGTATTAAATAGTTTCTCAACGCCAATATTTGATAAGTTTATATGAACATTGTACTGACCTTTTAATTTCGCCGGCAGTAAACTATAACTTAAATTGGGGCACGGACTCCACTGTAAAGTGCTCATAAAACATTTTCTTTACTTTCACTGTGAAAAACTGTAAATTTTTAATATACATTTCGATTTATAACCTTTATAATTGTGTTTATAAAATGTAAAAATGTGACATTTGACAGTTTCCCCTGTTGTTTCATAGATGGCGCTCTATACAAATTTTTGATTTAAATCATTTTAAGATAATAATAAGTATTTGTCGTAGAAAAAGTATAGCACCTCGTTTATAAACTTTTCTATACACTCATTAATTTAAGAACTCGCTTGCAAGCTCGCTCGTGCCTAAATTAAATTCGTGTATAAAATGGCGTTTATCAAACTTGATAAATAATATACTATTTTAATTCAGGGGTTAAATGGCTTAAAAATAAATGAAGAGCGACAGTATTTATTATGAATTAGGCAATCCGAAACAAAAACGTAGTTTAAATGTGTAATTTCATTTCTTTCGTTTTTAAAATAAATCACAAACGGATGAAGGGTGCACCCCGTCAGGCCATGGCCTGACTGTTAGTCAATTGGTAGGATTGTACCTCATCCTGAAGGACAAATGAATAATTCTCAGCAAAATCTCCAATTTTTAAATTGAATTTTGTTTCATTATATAGCTGTTTCCGCAAGTTCTCAAAATAAGTTTTTGAAAATTGAAGTTATAGCAATGTTGCCATATAGATTCCAAAGTGTAAACCAGGTCGTTCCATATAGGACATATAGAACCATATAAATCCATATTAGTTTCCTTATCTGGATCAATATGGGTTCTATATCCATTTTTAATAGGGAAGGCTGTAAAACATTTCCAATGCCTTTATTTTTAAAACCGCCGATATACATACATATTTGTTATATGCAGGATTTTTCTTAAATATACCAACCTAGAGGTGGCAGAAAAGGCTGGAATTTTTATAAACAAGAGAAAAGAGGTGTCTCAAGCATAGCATAAATAAATTTTGGTAAAAGATTGAATTTTATGGTCCAAATACTAAAATTCCCTATAATGGGTTATTTTTAAGTGAAAGATTAAGGAAGGGTGAAGAAAATAAAAAAAAAATGAAATATGTATGGTTCAACCGAGGGTTCAACTATGACTATGCTAGTGCCTAAAGCAATTTTTTATATTAATGTGATTCTATTTATTATAAGTAATAATAATTATAATAATGCTTTATTTATCTATACAATAGTACAGGTGCTTAATAATAAGACATGCATATTATAAGATACGTCACAAAATAAATAGCCGAACATAAACAAAAATAAGAGGTGCTATGTGAAAAGGTCATTCAGACTGATTGAATAAGGTACAGCTTCTGTTAGTAGGACTTTTAATTTATTTTTAAACCTATTAAAATTAATAATATTTTTAATTTCTGAGGGTAGCTTGTTAAAATATTGGTACTTATAATTTATTACAGAATTTAATATTTTTTTTGTGTTTTACGTATTTTATAACAGATATGGTTAATTTTAATTCAATAAAAATTTATAATTTCAAGTTATCTCTATGTTTTTTAAATTCAAATTTAGATCTTTTATCTCAAACAAAAATTTAAATCTCCATTTTATAGTTATTAGTCTCTTAAGTTACTATTTCTCGCAACATGGTAATTTTGCCTCTGCAGGCTCTTAAACAACAGATATATATCCCAACAACTACTTATCACAGACCATTAACTATTACTCAATTGAGTAATAGCTTGTTTTAAAGGTCTTTTAAAGTTTTTTCAGATAAGTTATCACATGATATACAGGGTGTTTCTTTTAACTTGAGACAGCTCAATATCTCGAGAAATACGCATTTCACGGAAAAATGTCTTAAATAAAAGGTTAATGTGACCAAAGGGGGCATTATTTGGTGCTACCGCTAGCCACCCCCTACCCCTCCTAAGGGTGAAACGGGGGGTAACTTTGGAAAGTCAAATGGAATGACCCGATTTTTTTCACAGAGTTTGGTAGTACATAAAAAAATGAATAACTTTTATTTGAAAGTTTTTTACAATTTATCAACAGATGGCGCTGTAATTCAAAATTTAAGAAAAAGGGGTTTCCTTGTAAAATGTATTATTTGAAACGTTTGAAAAACAAAAATTAACATTAAATCAACAGTAGTCGGCTCTGAAAACAATTTATAACAAATGTTCGAAATGTCGTCCTTCCATTTCGACACCAAGTGGAGCACCAGCGTCCCTGGTCGGTAAACGTTTGGTGCGGTACCTTAAGCGAACGATTAATCGGACCCTTCTTTATTGACGGTGCATTAAATGACGAAAAGTACCGGAATTTTCTAGAAAACGATCTGACGGACCTTTTGGAGGATGTACCACTAGCACGGCTCCAAAACATGTGGTACCAGCAAGATGGTTGTCCTGAACATTATTCGACAATTGCTCGAGAGGTGTTGGATCGAGAGTTCAATGGCCGGTGCACCGCGGTGGATCGGTAGACGTGGTAATTTGGCCTGCTCGATCACCTGATCTTACGCCACCAGACTTCTTCCAGTGGGGTTACTTGAAAGAAAAAGTTTACGCTGCAATTCCTACAACTTGGGAGGACATGGTGGAGCGGATCAGGAACGCCTGTGCGGCGATACCGCCCGATATGTTGGCACGTTGTGTGCCAGAATTCATTACCCGCATTCAAAAATGTGTTGAAATGGAATGACGACATTTCGAACATTTGTTATAAATTGTTTTCATAGCCGACTATTGTTGTTAATGTTAATGTTAATTTTTGTTTTTCAAACGTTTCAAATAAGTAATACCGAGTAATACATTTTACAAGGAAACTCATTTTTCTTAAATTTTGAATTGCAGCGCCATCTGTTGATAAATTGAAAAAAGTTTTAAATAAAAGTTATTTATTTTTTTATGTACTACCAAACTCTGTGAAAAAAATCGGGTCATTCCATTTGACTTTCCAAAGTTACCCCCCGTTTCACCCTTAAGGAGGGGTAGGGGGTGGCTAGCGGTAGCACCAAATAATGTCCCCTTTAGTCACATTAACCTTTTATTTAAGACATTTTTCCGTGAAATGCGTATTTCTCGAGATATTGAGCTGTCTCAAGTTAAAACAAAACACCCTGTACTTAAAATGGGAGTTTTTGAAAAAAATAATTTTGGAAATTTCAAAAACACCATTTTTATTCTTTTTTCAAAAAAAATATATTCTTTTTATTTATGTTTAAGTATGATAATTACCAGATTTCAGAATGGAGAAATGAAAAATTCATTTAAAAAAAATTAAAAGCTTAGAAACAGTTATTGTCAAAATTATAAAAATAATTACTATAGGAAAGTAGGTACTTAGTACCTTCAGTGAGTCATTATTTGGACGAAGAGAACTCCACAAAATTAAAAAAAAATCTGCAGAGGTCACTCCAAAAAAACTTATATTTGGTGTAATGACCCATATATAATATCAGTAGCGTAACTAGGGGGGGGGGGGGCGGGGGTGCGGTCCGCCCCGGGCGGCACTTCTTGGGGCGGCAAAAATCGTGAGAGAAAATGCGAAAAAAACTGGAAGACAGAATATAAAAATAAAAAAATATTTGATAATTAAATATTCTCTTTCGAAATAATATAATTCAAATTCCAATAGATTTGAGATTTATACAATTACTCCCAAAATATTCCAAATCAAATAAAGCTAGCAAAAAATAGAAACAAGACTGGTATTCTAAATATTTAAACATTTTTATTTATTTTTTACTCAGGTTTAATTTTTTTTTGTAGGTACTTTTACATAAGGTTGAGAATTTATCTCTTTGTTTATTTCATATAAATTATGTTAAAGCACATTTTATTTGTTGTTTTTCTTTACCTAGGTCTAAGAATTTTTGTTTGTTTTTAATTCTTAAAATATTACAATTTAATGTTATATATATATATGTTATATATATAATTATATATTTTTAATTTTGCGTACGGTCCTCAAAACTGACTCCTAACCTAACATCTCTTCCCCCCCAAAAAAAAAACATGAGGGCGACAGCCACTGCTGCCCCGGGCGGCACTTTTTCTAGTTACGCCGCTGTATATAGGTAAATGTCTTTTAGAAATTGATGCTGTGGTAATAAAAAAATGTATGCCCACTGTGTAATTAATGAAATAAGTCAAATATGATAAGAATTGTTTAAAACATTACTCAATGCATTTTTATACTATTATTTACATAAAATATGATTTATTTATATTTTGTACACACAAATTTAGTTCATTAGCATTTAAACCCAACTAGGTATCATCATATCTAAATGTTAAGTATAATTATTATCAGTAAACTATAACAGAAACAGTTGATTAGTTGGTAAGTTAACATTTTTGTTCATTTTATCAATGCTTTCTTCAAAGAGTAAATTTATTTTATTAAGGTAAATATATTTAACATCTGCAACAGAGATAAAGGTAATGCAACACAGATTAGGTAATGAAAACAAATGGTGTGGGTGGAAAATGAAATAGGAAGTCATCAATAGATCAAACAAAATGATTCAATACAATAAAAATAAATATGATACAAACATTAAAACACATATAATTTCTAAAGATATTTCAAATGTACTATTTGTGCATTATGAGTTTATTGATTAATGCAATTTTGTTGATAAAATAGGGCAATATGGCCTCTATTTATCAAATACTCTTACCAAAAATATGAAGTTGAGAAAAACGAATAAGTATTTGGTGCACGAATAACAACCCCCTGCCATTATTATCACACCAAAAATGCACAAGACTATTCAATAACGGCTGTTAAATAACACACTCAAATTTCAATTGCAAGTAAACAACACTAGTCTTCTTCAACTCTGCACCCGACTAATTTCAGAATTTCTATCTCAAGGCCACTGAAATCCCGGGCTTTGCGGCAGTTGTATGCACAATTATTAAAAATGTAAATATTCTAAAAAAATTAAACAAATATCCTTATTTGCCAAATTTTATTTAATTATTTCAATTATCCATTTATTTTAAACAATTTAAATAAATGCATTTTTACATAAAATTATTAATGCGCATGCGCAAATAAAGAAAATCGCACCATTTGTTTTGTGAGCACCACAACAAAAATGGCGACTTTGATGTTAGTGTTATCTAATTTTGTTTTTTGCATTTTTCATGAATTTTACCCGATAAATTAGTTGTTTGATAGACTGTTTAAAGATTTGTGGTTGTTTTCATATTATGTCATTGAGTGAAATTAGCGTTTTTCTTGTGGATTATATTTATTGTTACCCCATAGGTTAATAATACTTGGGACATCATGGATGAGTGTGAAAACTATAATTACAACTCTTCCTCGTTGGGAAAAGTTATTTTGAAGATAAATCAGATGTGTAAGAAGCCTACAATTGAGGCCGGATTATGTGAGGTATGTTTTTACTAGTAACTCACTTCAAAGAATACCTACCTTTAACTATTTTGTTTTTTTAGCAACTTGATTTGTTTGTGGAAAAATTACACGAATCTGACAAATATCTTGAAAATGGAATATTCAATGTTAATTTTACGGAGGCTGCTTTGTTTGTACAAAGTGCAACAGAACTTTACAGCAAAAAGGTTGACCTACTTTGGGATAACATTTTGGAGTACCAGAAACGCATGATTTTATATGAAACGTAAGTTTTTTGATGGTGTACCTATTATGGCTAAATAATTTTAAATTATATAATGCATGTAGTTTACAGGTTTTATTGTGTGATATCACATTTCCCTGTTGGGTTATAACCCAACAGGGAAATGTGATATCACACAATAAAACCTAGGTCAAATTACCCTTGGTAGACAAAATAATAAGTAAATTATAACAATCCTCTTTTAATTTAAGAAGTTGACATTTCTTTAAATTTGTAAATAAATTTGTACGATAAGCAAACAAAAACCTTATAACTTATAATATTAAATAATAAAAAAACGCCTAGGTATATCTGTCCATAATAATTTATTAAGTCCAATAAGACTTCTAAAAATACTTAATGCATTTGCATTAAGAATTTTTATATACAGGGTGTTTCTACTTAAAATGTACAACATAATAAAGGTTGTAGATCTCATCAAAACTAACACTTTTTTTAAATAAATATTTTTCATTTAAGCTTTTTTTTAGAAACCTCTATCTTTTTTTTATGGCCAGATTTAAAATGTTTAACACAAAAATTGTAGATATTATAGAAGATCAATAATTTGAAAATATTGCTGTAATGACAAAATATTTATTAAAAAAGTGTTAGTCTCAATAAGATCTAGAACCTCTATTATGTTGTACATTTTGAGTAAAATCACTGTTTTTATTACATATTCAATTGTTTATAATGAAGTTAAAATACTTTTAATATACAAAAAATATCAAAAGTTTGTTTAACTTTAGTAAAATTATCTTTTGTTTTTCAGATAAATATATTTAAGTAAGTAAATATTTACATTTCATAAACAATTTGGTTTTATATTAAATTACCTGAATATTTTAATAAATTAAATTTGAAATAAGCCTTTTTAAATAAAAATATTCATAATGGGTAATTAATTAAAAAAATATTTTAATTAATTTTTTTAAATTGAAATTCATTGTCTATTTGAGAACCTGTTGTTCTTCTAAAAACACTATACCATAGCATGGTGACCTTACTATCCCGCACAGCAACCCTGAGTTTAGGTTTTTCTCAGTTTACCTCACACTGTGATTTCTCATGCATCTCAAGTTAATTTGAAATTAAGTGGCGCCGGCATGCACACAGAGCATTATGCGCGCACATGGACTTCTGAAATTGCAGATCTAAAGATGAAGACAAATTGATAATTTTATATATTAAAGATAGATAATGTTTTAAAAATGGTCTATGCTAATTAAAACAAAATAATCTGCATCTAGCATGAATGCCATGGTTAGATATAATTAGAATAAATGAAACACTAGGTTAAGTTGGACCTTATATACAGGGTGCACCTAATATCCTTCTATGTATGGGTATCTTTTTTATTTGATGATCTACAAGGTGGGTAAAATTAGACAAAAGTTGCGCAAGTCTATTAAAAAGATATTTAAAAATTAGGGGGAAAATCAGCGGTACTCAAATAATTTGAGTTGAGAAAACCCGTCAAAACCAAAAATCGTTATAACTTCGTTATTCCTGGAAATTTTGAAAAAAGTAAGTTTTACATGTAAATATACACATTTATCATCCAATTTATAATTTTGAGACCACCACCATCTTTTGTTTTTCCTATAGCCACTTAAAAAAGTAAGTTTTACATGTGTATTCGTAATATTTCGCACTATATTACTCCACTTTTGGTTTGAACTGTGAGTCTTTGGTTATTTTTTATTTAAGTGGTTATGCCATACATTCTTAAAAGCGTTCTGTTTCCACTGCTCTGAACGAGGGAACGAGCGGTACTGTATATTCTTTTGGCATATACTATAATTAAAAATGTCGTAATTCTGCTTTGTTCAAAAAAGAAAAATAATCATGGATTTGTTTATTATTTCAGCAAACGCGATGGCCAAGAGATAGACAAACTCGAAGAGCGCATCAATCGTTTTAAGCGAAAGAAAACCAAAATCCTAACCAACCAGCAGATGGTTGATCCGGTCCAATCTCTGTTCAAAGAAAGCGATCTTCACGAAATAGACATCGAACGCATCGACACCGTCTACCAAAATTGGGGCATCCCGAGGGAAGAAAACCAACACAGGACCGGCGAAAGCGACGTTTTCGACATAAAGCAGGACACATCGCACATTGACAACCTGGCCATATACGATGATGAGCATGACGTGCTGTACGACGAACCGAATATTACAATGAAAAGGTGGCATGGCATGAATATCCTTAGGATGATCTATAATTTATACGATAAAGGTTTGGTGAATGATATGCCTAAAATAATAACGAAAATCCGGACGGATGTCGATCTGGAGTACCGGTTCCGGTTGGAGAATGACATATCGCCGGAAGTTTCAACGGAGAAAATCGATCATGAGCTACGCGATTGGGTGCAGAGCTTTATTTTAGCAAAAAGGGCAAATATTTCGCATGAACTCGAATGTATAAGAAAGAAAGTGTGCCCTGTTGAAACAATAATTAACTTGCAAAGACTACCGTCCCTTTTGGTTAACAAAAAACTGAGAAGAAAAAGCATAATGGATTATCCGCCGGACATAACCTCGTCTGAAAACAGTTGCAACATGATTGAAGATTTAGTGCCTGAAAAATCCAAACCTTCAGAAGAGATGCTACCACTATTAACTATGCGCTTAGAAAATTTAGCGGATAAAGATACAACAGACCGTAAATTAAGCCAGGATTCAGGATTTTGCGACATGTCTTCAGATGAGTTAATGGCTGAAGATTTTGAACAGGAAAATGGCCCACATGAACTTGAACCACAATGTACACTTAATGTTACACAACAAAATGATGATATTTTGAAAGACTTGGAAAATTTAAGAGAGATTGAAAAACAGGGCGAGAAAGAAAGTGTTCAAGAACCAGAAAATGAACCTCAAGTGGAAAAATCAAATGAGGAAGAAGGTTTAGAAGAAGAAGAAATAAACCAAATTGATGTTACTATTAAAGAAGTTGTTAAAAGTTGCCAAACAGAAAGAAAGAAAAGAGAAAAAATATTGGTTAAATCTGTCAAAATAAATGAGCAAGAAGACAACAAAAGGGTAAATTTAATATTTTCTTAATTATTTTAGATTTTATTATTTTGTGTTTATTTTTCAGAAGATCAAAGAGGATAATGTCCTGGACACTCCTCTAAAGAGAAGAAAGTTGTCCAAAAAACAAATCGCAAAGTTTTCCATACCAATTAAAGAGTCAAAAATGTCAACTTTTGAAAAATTTTATTCATTAAATTACACTGCAGAAACTAATGAGGGTACTGTTGAAGAATATGAAAGCGAATCAGATAACGAAGATACAGAAGTATTTCTTGGCTTTCCCCATGAAGAAATTGAGCAATACTTACAAGAAAAAGTATATGAAAAAGAAACAAGTAAAGATATTGAGGCACTACAAGATTCAGCTGATAATGATGCAAATGAAGTTGAGCATGATGAAGTACCCAACATTAATGACGATTTTGAGGCATCTCAAGAGGATACAGAACCAGCTGAAGTACCTGAACTTAGTGTAGAGCCATCTACTAGTAAAACCAAGAAAAAAGACCCAAACATGGGCCCAACAAATGAAGATATTGCCGAGTCGAGGGAGAACGTGAAAAAATGGAAACTTTCAATCATGCCGCAATTAAAAGCGTTAAAAAACGCTGAATTTGACATTCATAAATACGGTTCTCAGATTATGGAACCTTTGGAAATTAACGAAGTTAAAATGTTTAAAGATATTGTAAAGGAAAAATCTTCTGCCGAAGTGGTGAGGTATTTTATATCTTCATTGCAGTTGGCAAATACTTATAACATTGAAATTGGCGGGGCTCAAAAGGCCAAATTGTCAAATGACACTTTTAAAATAAAATTGTTAACGAAAGAAAGATATCATGAGCATTTAAATGATTACGAAGCGCCATCAGAGGAAAATTTCCGAGAAAGAATACAAAAAATTCATAAACTGCAGGATGTGAAAGAAAACTCTTCAAAAACCAAACAGCCACCCAGTAAAAGACAAAAAGTTTCAAATTAATTTTATTGAGTTTTTTGAGTCTTTTACATAATGTACAAAATGTTTTCTTTTAATTTTGTCAATATTCTTATTAACAAATATTGTTGTAATTTCAAAGATTTATTTTATATATAAAACATAAAAATTGGTATTGGTAACACCTTTTTACACCAAAAACTTTCTGTAAGCTTAAACTGGAAGCAATAAAATTAATAAATACTTTCAAGTTTCTTTACAATTAATATTGTAGATTGGCATTTTATACATTATATCTAGCTTTATTTTTTTGAATAGGCAAGTTTTATGGAGTTTTTAACTTTTCTGTACCTAAAAACAATATTAAGACATTCTAATGTTGAAATTAATTATTTTTCTATGCAACAGTGGAATGTCGTTGTATAAAAAGAATCAGTGTATATTTTTCTGTATTGTAAATTTATTTACATAGTTTTCATATTTCATAAAAAACTAATTTATTAGTATTAGTTATTACATCACCGAATATGTTTTTTGAGGCCCAGTAGAATATTCTTACTAAATTAAAATAAAAGGAATAATTATTAAAATCTTAATATTATATGATTATAATCAGTGTCGGCAATTCACTATTTTTTTTATATCAGTGTACGGATATTATACGTAAACATTGTAAATTTTCTGAAAAATTGACATTGGAATTTTTGTCGTACTACCCTTTAAATAAAATAAGTCACTTTTTCATAAAATTTCCCAATTGTTCAGGAAAAAATCGTTTTTTTTCCGCCGACCTGAAATTAATTTTTGTTATTTAAATTACTCTAAAGAAAACTATACACTGGTCTATTGTTACACTTGTAAATAATTTTTGTGTAAAACAAAAACAGAATACATATTTTTATCCAAATTTTTATATAAATTTCTTATATCTGTGATTACATTAAAACATTTAATAGATCCTTAGACTTGTATTTTAAAACTTAGTTCATTATTTGTATGTATAGCTAATTTAGGATACAATTAGCTTAAATTTTTTACCACAAAGAAAATAGATCAGTTTATTTTGGGATTTCTAAATGTTAATAATAAATAAAATCTAAGCATAAAGACATTGTTTTACCTTTTTCTTTTTGGGTATTTAAGACACTCCTGTCACATTCTCGAAAACCTCCCAGATTTTTTTAATATCCTGTTTTTTCTAAATCTAATTTTATTAAAGAATTTTTAGTAGACCATAATATGAATACAAGGACAGTTGGGTCTTGACTCTTGAAGTGTAAGGATGGATAGTTAACGAGACCTCTCCTAAGCAGCGTATACGATACAAACGTAGTAAAGTATCAAAGCGAATCTAAGTATGCGGAAATACCGGTAATCGGTAATAAATAAATAAATAAACAAACAAGTGCGAAAAGTGCAACAATTGCGAAAAGTGCGCCGTAAAATTAAAAAAATCAATATCGATTCTACACGTGATAACTGGTTAACGCCGTAAAATAATAAAAAACAATATCGATTCTGATCGACCTGATTAAAAGGTGTGAGAGAGACGATCAGTTCCAATGAAAATTTCCTGGGCTACGACACGTGCGGGCGGCATGCGATAAGGATCAATTTTAGCACACCTGCCTGGCAAATATCCCCAAAAGTCCAAGTCTGCATAAACTAGATAAGTAGCTACCAAATTGCATGACCATGACCACCCAATAATATTAATACTAGTTAATGCGAAATACGCAACCTTTAACTAACAATAATTCTTTAGGTAAAATTAATTAGTCGCAAACAATTTCCAAGATTCTCATGCAAATGAAACAGTAAAAAAAACTATAAACACAAGGGCACATAAGAAGCCATTAATCACTCAAGTTACGATAAACATTAGGCAAAAGAAACCATCCTAAAAAAATTTATTTATTTATGTTTACATCTATAGATTACGAAGACGTAAGGGGTCATAAATTAAGTAAAAACCGTTAAGTAAGCGTATAGCCGCAATGCACAGTGAGGCGCAAAGATGGATCCAACCCCAAGTGAATGGGGATCACGCACAGTGGGAAAAAATAAATAATTCGAGGATCGACAATTCCAGTAGGTTAAACGAATTTCCAAAGTCAGAGGGCACTAATTACGGCGGGGTACGGCCGGCAACACTTCGGTTCTGAAGATAAGACTCAATCGCACAGGGCACAGCAAACGGAAAATTATAGAGGTGTATAGGATGACGCCATGTTTGAATATCGTTTTCTAAATCTCCCTACGGTATAGAGTTGTATTCGTCAGTCGAGCGTTTCAATACTCTCCACAGTATAGAGGTCGTAATTTCACTTTTGAACTAGTATTAATATAAAAATTATTTTATGCTTAAAAAAACTATATATATATACGACATGATTGTGATTTTTTTCATTTTATTAATTAATTAAGCTGTGTTGAATATTTTTCCTAAACGAATAATTGCCAATGGGCGTAGATGCTACAATAACCTGCACTGGTGTGTACTTTTTCATCAACCAGATTTAAATATTACAAAACTAACATATACCAGTGGAGATAGTGCAGGGTCTACCAACAGACCTAATTACTAAATTATTAAAGTTTAATAGCATATCGATCATTTTTTCAACATAACCTCTGAAATTTTTAATACAAATATAGATACTTTATATAATACATAAATATACTTAACATCATATCATCTGTGCTTTACATACCTGAGTTGTTACGGTAAATAAAAATCAGACAAACGAACCAAAGAAAGGAACTATTTTCAATAAAATCATATGCAGAAAGGAGAAAATTCAAACTACTTGCATCCATCAAAAGATCAAAACTTCTTGCAATATTACACCCTCTTTTTATACTCTCAGAAATATTGACTAGAACAGTATTAGAGAGACTCCAGTTTCTATAACTTGGTAGAGTAAAGAGAAGTCGAAACCGTTGCGATATTGCACTGCGCTGTTTTTGTATAATTCTCGGGGACATTAACGAAAATCATTGCCAGTAAAATTCGAAAAGCTAGAGTTTCTATGTCTCTGAGGAGAATAGGAATCCGAAGTTGCTGCACCATTGGACTGAACCCTTTTTTAATAATTTCTAGAGACATAAATGACTGCACCATTCGACTGGGTCGAGTTTCTACGTCTCTGTTGAATATAGAAAATCAAAATAATGTATCTTGTAAGACACCATTGAGTTTGACTTTAAATATAGTCGTGCATAGGTATAGAGCCGAAAAATATAAAAACAAAGCACGATTCAATACAGTTATGATAAAACTTTAAGATTTGATATTCAAACGCGGAGTCATCCTATAAACTTCTATAATTTTCCGTTTGCTGTGGGGGGCAAACAATTCTAAAGCGGCTATCAGGAACCGAAATCCGACTCGGACAGCGACGAACAGGAAGTACACCATCAAGGAAAGGCGCTAGCAGCATACTAATCCACCCACCCCCATTCAGGAATACCAAATGAATGGGGTTATTACTAAAGCCCTGGTTAAGGAGGATTCCGGATTGTACTTAGTTTTGGGTCAGTTCAATGTCCTCCAAAAACCCTTCCTAAACTGGACGTATGGCCCGACCCGGCTGACAAAAATCCGTGGAGCGGCCTTAACCTCTGACACTGTCATCCACGACCTCCTAGGGTGGATCTACCAGCCGGCGTAAAAACTTCGGATACACAGGTAATGCTGTGATTTGGCGGGATACGCAGGAGAACAGAAAGGGGGTAAAATAACCCCGGGAGATTAGTGGATGATATATATAATATATTTGGGGCCTGCCATACGTTCCCATACTCATACCATAATATGAATACATACATACAGACTGTATGATACTATATACTTTTTCTATGCAGTACAACTTTTGATCTCACAGAGAACAGATGTATTCTCGACCGCTGAAAGAAACATTAAATCTCTCATATAGTGAAGTTTAGTGTATTAATTAATCTTTCAACAAGAGAAATCCTGTACGAAGTAGTGGTATGTGACACTACCTGTGCATGTGAAATCAGTACATGTCCTACATCGCTCAGAAATGCAGTTTACTAAGCGAATATCCTTTTTCTATGGCGAATACTGTAAGAACACAGCGACACTATAGTGTAGGTATACCTGTGCAGGAAAAAGCCAAAACACTAGAGATTTAAGTTTATTGTTTTTTTTTGACTTTGAACTGTGGTTCATATTTAGCCAGTCACCATTTTTATAAAATTAAAAATTACAATAAAAAAACAAAAAACCAAGCTAAGCTATTTTCTACCAATAAATAGGAAACGTACAGAAGATTAAGGGATTATAACAGGGACACACTCTTCTCGTTTTAGGTATTAGAAATTTTTGTTTAATTGCACACAATAAGATGGCCACGGAAAAAAAGTTTTAGAAAACAATAGAAAAGATAACAAAGTTTACAAAATTAACCTAATCTATAATTTTACACCAACTTCTCCCAAAAAAGAGACCAGCAAGGCAGCAAACATTTCAATATATATGTATATATTGAAATATTTGCCTTGCTTCACCATGAAGTGAACCTCCCGGTTAACATCCCACACTTATGTCTCTTGGTTATAACCTCATACTCATACTCACCATAATATGCATATGTTCATACATATATTTTACTTGTTTTACAACCAACTTTTTTTTTTTAAGAAAAAAACTTATTTTACATTTTCTGGACACCCTTTAATAAGGATAGCAATGCTATGCTATCATATCATCAAATAAAAAATTCTTAAATATATATAGGTATAGTATTTTATTTCATCTAAAATTTAATATATTATAATATTCACAAATTTAAAATAAATACAAACTCTTGTAACATTTTGAATTTTAAGAAACATGTATATGTCAGTGGCGGCTGGTTCTAAAGGGCACAAGGGCACGTGTCTACTTAACCGCCCAGATAAAAAGTAATTAAAGTTATTTGTTGCATTGTGCATTATTTTGGTTTTACGTAACACCATTGTAATTACTATTTAAGGATGGTCTCAAACCTTCCTTCCGTCCGCTCAAACGGTTGGATTTAAACCTTCTTTACGCAACGCTGCAGCGAGCAAAACGCTGTGCCGGCCAGATTGCGAATCTGGCAACACTGCGCCGGGGCACAATTTTAAATGTTCCCATTCTAAGCTATATTCGGTCATCTTCGGTTATCCTCGCAGTACGCGAATATATCGTCAATTTGGGGCACCGAGGTTCGGTGCCCGAGCGCCGCGTCTCTTGTAGCCAGTTTGCAGAGAACTTTTGTCTTTGTCGGTTAGTTTGATTTTTAACTTTTTCGTCGCCGCGCGCTGTTGTGTTTTTTTGAGTTGTGAATTACGTGTTTTGTTTTTTAAATAAACTTTATTTTTTATTAACAATAATGGAACCAGCGAAAGTAAATTGTGTGCAAAATCTTTTTAAAAGCCCGATGTCACATGAAGATAAACTTTTAATTAAGGAAAAAGGAAGACCTATTCCCGATCTTCGAATAAACTACACTTCCACAGGTAAAGACCGAACTTACAATAGAGTATTCAACAGAAATACTTATATATGATAAATACGAGTGGATATGCGGTTGTTCAGTAACAAATAAGCTTTTTTGATTTATGTGATTAATTTTCAAAAAAGAGATTAGTGCGTGGACTCAACATGGGTTAGATGATTTAAAACACATCGCAGAGAGGGCTAAGAAACACGAAAATTTAGTTTCTCACATGAATGCATCCATGGATTTTAGTATCATAGGCAAAGTAGACATACGCGATCAGTTAGACAGTCTTTTCTCGCATAAAAAATAGGAGAATGGACTTTATGTACAAAAATTAGTAGGTAAGTTTTTTGTGCCCACCCTCTTTCAAAACCTACGAGCCGCCACTGGTATATGTTACGGCTAAACCACATACTTCCACAGTATGTGGGCTAAACACCGAAATTGGCTAGTCTCGAGATTAACAGGCTAAAATCAAGTTTAACTAAAAACTTAAAAACCTTGTATATAGGACTATATGCACGTAGACTACGTGACGTAGTTAATTTTTAGATGAAAATATAAATATGTCATTTTTTAACATTAACCGGTTAATGTCGAGATTATTATTCCTGTTCAGGTTGCATAAGGCTTTGTTATCTATGGTTGCATACAGACCGAATACGCCTGGCCAAGTGTGGGGTAACTTCCACCTGGCCGAGTGTCGGCTTTGTGTAGTTGGGTAAGTGTCGGCTATGTATTTAGCAGCCCAAATTTCGGCTCAGTATAGTTGGCCGATCCAGACGCCATCACAGACGCACACCTCCAACCCATAATAAATATTGCAACCCATCGCTAGTTAACCACGGTGCGTAAGCAGAGGTGAGATGTATCGATTAAGCAATGCCGGATTCTGTCCGCTTTCGGTTAGTAAGTGGCCAAACGGTAACTTGAGTAACATACGCGAGCCGGCTGTATGCAAGCCGAACGCTTAACCGTATTCTGGCCGCTTTCGGTTAGCAAGTAGCCAAACCGTAACCGGGGTAACATACGGGTCCGGTTGGGGGAATCCCAAACGCTTATGCCGTATTCTGGCCGATTTCGGTTAGTAAGTGGGCAAACGTAACCAGGGTAACTTAACGGAGACCCCGGCTGGAGGCAAGTCGAACCGCCGGTCTACCGCCTATGCCGAGTGTTTGGTGCTTACTGGGATATTTTTGTTTGATTGTGTTGTGATGATTCGGTGCACAACACAAAACAAAAATGCTTTATTTAAAGTTATTTCGGACTGTAACCACCCACAATATGTTAATGTCGACTTTAGGTAATTAAAGTCCGTTTCGCTACGAAAGTCAACCGTGTATTCGGACATTAGCCAAAATAGACTGGTTAATCTCGATATTAGCTGGTTAATACTTTATTAACTTTACCCGTAACATATACATATAATTAAATATTTTTTAAATTATTTTATAACGCAATATATTTCTTCTTAAAATAGTGTATTTTAAAATGCCACAAACATCTATATAAATTATAATGCCCTATAATAGTCAAAATTAATAATTCCATTAAAATATATTTAATAAGTATACTTGTTTCAGGCCGCTGTTTCAGGTATTTTGGGCATAAATTGAGGCAGTAGCTCATCAAATCTTCTGTTGAGAAACCCAACTTTTGATGATAACCCATTAATTGTTTCTTCCATGTAAGATTGTCGTCTCCATTCAAGCTGCGGTAGCAGAAATTCTGCTTGATAAATTCGAGATTCAATTGATTTCACCTTGTGTTTTACTGCGTCCACATATGCATCTTGTAGAAGACTGACGTTTGATGATCCTTTCAAATTTATTAAATTAAATAAATAAACACATTGATTTAGTAATATTGCAAAAAAAATAATATGAGATTCCTTGCATGAAAAAAAGTCTTTTTAACTATTTTTTTTAAATAAAATAATCGAAAATATCAGATTTTTTCTTATATATAAAATTTACTTATTTAAATTTAAGAACTTTTATCATGAAATTAGTTGTATTATAATACAACTAATTTCATGATGAAAGTTCTTAAATTTAAATAAGTAAATTTTTGATCTTTTATTTAAAGAATTCTTTTCCAAATTTTAGAACTACTATTACAGACACAATACAGCAAACAAATTAATATAAATTAATAATAGAGTATATAAATGATTTAAGGGATAAGTTAATCGATTCTCTTAATTGAGACCCTTAATAATATTAAAACATTTTTAAATCAAATTATGCTGACCAAATAAATTTTAATTAAGCTAAAGGCCATTTAAACCTGAAGAAGAAGAATATTTTCCTATTGCGATTCCGAAAATGGAACCTAATTTAGAAAAGTCATTTAGAGGCGATTTCGAAAACCTACTCAGGAATATTTCTATTCCCGGAATCCAATTTTGTCCCTCCTGGGTCAAGGTTAGCTATTTTTCACACTTTTTCATCGAGCGATACTCACGAAAGACAAAATCAAACTCAACTACATACTGGAGTAAGTGATCTGCTGACCCTACTCGCAACAGTGCTCGGATTATTACAGCCTGTACATTGTGCTGGACATAAAAAAGTTGCATGTAATTCTGGACAATACAGCAAAAATCTGTATTAGTCCAAGATCCGACTGCATGATTATTACCCCCATCTGCTTTTTAAACAAAATGTAATTTTTAGAGATAATTATTAATATTATTAATAGAGGAATTCGTACCTACCGGATAGCCTTTCAAAATATGGCCGTATCTTTAATTAAAATGTAACTCTTTTTTTTCTAAATAATTTTACTCACTTACTTTAGCAATAAATTATAATTGATCGTAATTTATTTTATAGATATACAAAAGTTTATACAAAAGTGCTCTTTTTCTATGTAAATAACTTAAAAATTATGGGTACCCTTCAGGGTTGGGTAACGACACGTAGAAAATTATTTTTCTACAGGTATGTAGAAAATTACGTAGAAAATGTAGAATATTACGTAGAAAATGTAGAATATTATTTTTTTACATCTCCAGAAAATTTCGTAGGAAATTTAGAGTATTACGTATAAAATGTAAAATATTGCGTAGAAAATGAAATATAGAAAATAAAATCGGACACATAATCATTAGCGACTACTTTTCACGATCCTCTGACTATTTATAAACGTTTGCGATAAGATGGCATGCGCGACGGCGGGACTTCCCCTAAAGTTTTTCGGGGACGTCCAACGCGAATAGCGAATCGTAAATATAAAAACCTGGTGCATCGCATCACTAAACTCCTTGTCAGTTTATTATTTGTTTTAATTTAGACGGTAAGAATTGTAATTTAACAAAAATACCTACTTTTAAATGGCTGGAAGACCTCAACGCGAGTTTTGGGAAAAATATGATTTTCAACAAGTTAAGGCTGACGGAAGAAACTCAAGTTTATGTTATTATTGTAGCAAAATTTAAAAAAATACTGCTAAGAAAAGACTTAAGAGGACACCGGAATGTTTTCAGAAAAAGAAAAGCTGAAAATTTAAGTAAAATTTTGTCAAATTCAGATGACACAGTGAAAGCTAGTGAGGATGAGGAAGAAAATGAAATTCCATTAGCCAAAGTAGCAAGGCTAGTGAAAAAAGAAAACCAAAAAGTTGGGTTTTTGGACGAGGTGTGTGAAGGTGATCAAAATCAACCAAAACCAGTACATTACTATAATAATTTTCCATTCGCGACTAGTTTCGGTCGTTCTTGACAATCATCAGGTAAACTACAGAAAAAGTTACAGTTAATAATATTTCATTTTTTAGTTTAACATTTAAAAAGTTTAAAAAAAAAATTGAGACAATAAACAATATAATTAAAAAAGGGTAGGTACTACAAAATTATTGTTTAAAATTCAGGTTAAAAATAAATAATTTAATCATCAGGTAAACTACAGAAAAAGTTACAGTTAATAATATTTCATTTTTTAGTTTAACATTTAAAAAGTTTAAAAAAAATTGAGACAATAAACAATATAATTAAAAAAGGGTACCTACTACAAAATTATTGTTTAAAATTCAGGTTAAAAATAAATAATTTAAATATAATATATATTATATTAATTAAAGCTTTTTACATTTAACAAATATATTATAAATATAAATATAAATGTTGATGTATCATGAGTTGCATATTATATGTAATTTGAATTGTTTAAATGAATGACCGAAAGTAGTCGTGAATGTAAAATTATTATAGCAAGGAAATATAAAAAATTAAAAAAACAGAATTATTTGTTAATACATTTTAAACAAATGATTAATTTTATGCATTTTGTAGTGTAGAAAATGTAGAAAATAGGTTGGTGTAAAAAATACATATTCTACGCGTAGAATATACAGTAGAATATGTATAATTTTCTACCTACCCATCCCTGGTACCCTTCTATCGACGCATGCGCAATCGTTTTAAAACGACGTAAAGCAGATTGCGTCCTTGTCTGATCATGCACTAACTTTCCCGTTTTTCTTGTTGGTGAAAAGAACTTTAGGCACTTTGTGTTTTGTTTTGGTGGTGGGGAATATTTCTAATATTTGTTTGGAGTAATGTCCGCAAAGAGGTTGCGGCCAAGTGAGAAACGGCAACCCATAATTTCTAAGTTCTTTACACATCTCTCTATAATAGTGTATGTATGTATCACGTTTTACAAATGCCATTTTAGTTACGAGTTTTATTAAGCACCAGTGAAGCTTGTGAGCGAGTGTTTAATAAAAACGAGTGTCTAGAGAAGTTTATAAAACGAGGTGCATACTATACTTTTTCTACGACAAATACTTATTATTATCTTAAAATGATTTAAATAAAAAAATTGTATAGAGCGCCATCTATGAAACAATAGGGGAATCTGTGTGTCACCATCAAATGTCTTTTATGTAATTTTATAAACACAGATTATAAAGGTTATAAATCGAAATGTATTTCTTGAAAATTGACAGTTTTTCACAGTGAAAGTAAAGAAAATGTTTTATGAGGACTTTACAGCAGCGGCGTAACTAGAAAAAGTGCCGCCCGGGGCAGCAGTGGCTGTCGCCCTCATGTTTTTTTTTGGGGGGGGGGAAGAGAAGTTAGGTTAGGAGTCAGTTTTGAGCAGGGTTGGGTCAGTAGAAAACCTTAGGTAATTTACCTTGGTAGAAAAGGGTAGAAAACTTGTTTTCGACTTGCGTCGAAAACCTATAGGGTTTTCTACCTACGTAAATTACCTTATTCGACCTTCTCCTTCCACTTCTCTATAATTGATAAAAATTTGCCCTCATGCCAAAAATTATGTTGGGGTCTCCCAACCAAACGTGGCCCTTTTTTTCCCACCATAATAATTTTAAAAAACTCCAAATAACTTCAAATTTATGGTAGGTGTCTGATTTTTCACAACATTTAACAAATCATAATAAACAACAAACTTGCATAACCTCACATTTTTTTATATTTGACAGTATTCTACTTTTTTACGTTTTCTACCGTCGAAAACGTCGAAAAAGGTTTTCTACATGTCGAAAACAAAAATGTAGGTAAATACCCAACCCTGGTTTTGAGGACCGTACGCAAAATTAAAAATATATAATTATATACAGGGTGTTTCATAATATATGCGCAGGACTTCAGGATGTGATAGCTCATCCAAAAAGATGAAAAAAGTCGCTATTAAGTTACGCTATAAAATGCACAATTTTCGAGATACAGGGTGTTGAAATTTTAGAAAAAAATTCGTTTTTTTCGAATATCTCCGGAACCGTTTATCGTACAAAAAACAGCTTTTGTAAGCATTTTCTACTCAAAATAAGCTATGTTTTGTGCTAGAAAAAAATTGTTTTCCTCATAATTGGTGGAGATTTTAAAGGGGTAGCGGGTGTTTTTCTCCTCAACTTCTACGCCCCTGAAAAAAGTACAGTTTTGAGAGGCCCATTCGAACCGCCAATGTTTTCTACACAAAAAAGGTACTCCTGGTCATAAGCTCTAAAGTTGACCGTTTTCGAGAAAAATCAACTTTTATGTTTAAAAACATGGTCAATTTAAAAAAAAAATATTTTTTTTACTAATTAAACAAAATTTATTTTAACGTTAGGACAAGTAACAAAACCAAACCATAATTGCAAAATAAAAAATGATTTAAAAGTTGTCTTTGCTTAATTCTCCAAACCGTAAAGGTAACGCATTTCGCACATTTCAGCATTTGAGTAAAAAATCATTTTTTATTATTTTTTTAATTTTGCAATTATCGTTTGGTTTTGTTACTTTTTCTAACGTTAAAATAAATTTTGTTTAAATAGTAATAAATTTTTTTTTCAAAAAATTGACCATGTTTTTAAACATAAAAGTTGATTTTTCTCGAAAACGGTCAACTTTAGAGCTTATGTGACCAAGAGTACCTTTTTTCTGTAGAAAACATTGGCGGTTCGAATGGGCCTCTCAAAACCGTACTTTTTTCAGGTGCGTTGAAGTTGAGGAGAAAAACACCCGCTACCCCTTCAAAATCTCCACCAATTATGAGGGAAAAAAAATTTTTTCTGGCACAAAACATAGCTTATTATGAGTAGAAAATGCTTACAAAAGATGTTTTTTGTACGATAAACGGTTCCAGAGATAATCTAAAAAAACGATTTTTTTTTCTAAAATTTCAAGTCCTGCGCATATATTATGAAACACCCTGTATATAACATATATATAACATTAAATTGTAATATTTTAAGAATTAATAACAAACAAAAATTCTTAGACCTAGGTAAAGAAAAACAACTATTTTTTGCTAGCTTTATTTGATTTGGAATATTTTGGGAGTAATTGTATAAATCTCAAATCTATTGGAATTTGAATTATATTATTTCGAAAGAGAATATTTAATTATCAAATATTTTTTTTATTTTTATATTCTGTCTTCCAGTTTTTTTCGCATTTTCTCTCACGATTTTTGCCGCCCCAAGAAGTGCCGCCCGGGGCGGACCGCCCCCCCCCCCGCCCCCCCTAGTTACGCTACTGCTTTACAGTGGAGTCCGTGCCCGAATTTAAGTTATAGTTTACTGCCGGCGAAATTAAAAGGTCAGTACAATGTTCTTATAAACTTTTCAAATATTGGCGTTGAGAAACTATTTAATACTTTTGTATTTTTGTATTGAGATAATAAAATAATTTTCACATTTAGTATTATTTCACAAGGCACTTTATTTTAACGATTGTATGACATTTGACAACTGTCAACTAACTTAAAACTAACTTCAGCCCTTGACTAACAACCTGTTGCTAACTTCAGCCCGTGACTAAAGCGCCATAAAGCCACAACTTGTCAATGTGTTTTTAAAAGGTAACTTAGTGTCATGGAAACATTTACGATAAAGGGCGTTTTAAAGGTGGGAATAGAAAAAATAAATTAAAATTTACCTCTATGGGAGTGCAATTGTTTAGAAAAAATTAATTAATTTGATTTTAATTAAATACTTTTAGCCATATTTTGGTAGAAATATATTTCTCTATTAATAATTATCCCTAAAAATAACATTTTGTTTAACCCTAGTAGCAATGGAATTGGACAAGATTCTTTGTCAAGATACTTGGAAAAGCACTTTGTAAAGAATTGGACAATTCTTGACCAAGACTCTTGATCAAAATTCTTTATCCAGACTGGTGCCAGACTTGCGACAAGTCTGTGACCAGAATTCGACCAGATTCTTGGCCAAGAATTTTGACGTATACGTCAAAATTCTTGTCCCGAAATTGGGGGGCCAAACTTAAAAAGTGCATTCTTTATAGAAAAATAACACTTGTTTGTTTAATAAACATGTATAAAAAAATGCCCCCTAACGGAGCTACGGCCCCCTGAATAAGAGCATAAGTTTTTTAAAACTATTCCTAGAGGTTTGAACAGGAAGATATAAATTTTTGGTACTTTGGTAATTTTGACATGCTGAATCTAGATCTTAGAACAAAACTGTTAAAATTGAATCATAGGCGTTACATTTGGGGGGGCAAAGTTACAAAAATAGCCCTAACTTTTTTCTAGGTTAATGTTTTAATTTTTGTTTATGAAATTATGAAAATTTATAGTTTTTTACGAAAAATACCTAGGTACTCTTTATTTAGATCGTTTAGATGCACCATTTTCGAGAAAAATGCATTTATAAATAAATTACTCTCATTATTATTATCTCATATTTTCATTAAAACGTTCATGAAGAAATGAATTTTTGGTACTTTGGTAATTTTGACATGCAGAATCTAGATCTAAGATCAAAACTTTTAAAATTTCATCATAGGCGTAACATTTGGGGGGGCAAAGTTACAAAAACATCCCCAATTTTTTTCAGAGTTAATATTTCAAATTTTTATTATAAAATTATAAAAAATATAACTAAATATTATAAATAACCCAAACGTCACTTTTGTCCTAAAGCCTACTAGAAAATTCAATAGATCAAAACTGTTAAAATTGAATCATAGGCGTTACATTTGGGGGGGCAAAGTTACAAAAATAGCCCTAACTTTTTATTCGATATTTTTCTATTTAATGGCAATTAAAGTTAGAACAGTAGTAAATATGGCGGTATATCTGCATAAAATAACCATAAATCATCGTCGGGTCATCGGACGTTAAAGAAGGAAAAAAACACGTTTAACGTCTAGGATTCCCATACAGCACACTACATCCCATGGACGTACATTATATATGTATTTTTTGTGTTCTAAATTAGGACCTTTATGCACATTTATTGTATTATTTTCAGAGAATAACACGAAATAAGCGTTAAACTGACAGATGCCTAACCTCAGTTTTTTGTATTCAAATGTCAAAGTGGGACTTGCGTGGAACCAAATACTGTGGAATGTATTGTACAGTATTTGGTGGAAAATAGTACAGGTACTATTTTCCACCAAATACTGTACAATACATTCCACAGTATTTGGTTCCACGCAAGTCCCACTTTGACAGATAGGTCTATCTGTAATACAATGTAAGTTTTGAAAAAAAAAACGCATTAAAACAGTATACCAAGTATACCTATACGGTTTTAACACGTTTATTAATGTTAAATTAGAGGCTTTATAGCCTGCTCTAAATTTAAATGTTTTAACATTATCGTTATAAAAATTTATTGAAATTATCGAGTTTTTATTTAACTTACCCGCTGCAGTAAAATAAGCACTCCCGCTGTTTACGTGTTATGTACGTCCATTGCTTACAATGTCATTAAATGTACGTCCGTTAGTAACATCTAATGGACGTCCAAAACTGTGACAAAGTAACCTTAAATGGAAATCCGTAGGATGTCTGATGTATGTCGATGGACGTTTAATGTACGTCCACAAGTACAAAAAATATGTATTTTATAATCGTTCATGTTCATAAAGAGTAAACTCTAGTTACGCGTCAGAGCTGACACACACTTTTTTTTTAATTTTTAGAAATAACAATTTTTATTTTTGAAAAAATCAATTTTTTTCTTTGCTAGAAGACGAATCCAATAAGCTCTTGTTCGTATTTTCAGACAAACGGAAAAACTCGATTCATTTCATACAGAAAACTCACTTCTCGACTAGTATACTCTCTTAAAATAAATTAGTCTAAAATAAATAATTATAAGTCATATATGACTAATTGTCAAAGCGAAAAAACAGTCACTAATAATTAGTCAAATTCTACTGAATGAAATAGTCAAATTAGTAGATTTAAATTTAAAAAAGTTGTGACCCAGCCGGGGTTTGAACTCCGATCTGTCGCTTGTCAAGCTTGTCAAGCGGATGTCATAACCAATCACTATCAGTCACTTTTATAAAAAATAATTTTATTTGTCTATATATATTGTTCATAATATTAAACAAACGATTAAAGAAATTAGGTACTTTTAACTATTCGAAACAGTCAAAGATGGTGACTTATCTTAAATTAGTCAAACTTTAACTATTTAAGTAGTAAAATATAACCATTTTAAAGTGAAAACGACTACTTTATTAGTAAAAAATGCTGGTACTAATTCAAATAGTAGAATTTTGACTATTTCATTTAATAGAGTATTGTGAATGATGCTACTCAGGGCCGGACCTAAGGGGGGGAGTGGCCCCCCCAATGTCTAGGCAGTTGGTTCAAAATCCAAACACGGTTGGAAAAATCTATTTGGGTAGGTTGGTAGGGTTTACCTACCCTACCAACCTACTCATCACAATAAATAAAATATAATTTTTAAACCATACATATTAGAAATTGTAATTTACAATATTATAATTTTTAACCTATTGTAACCTCCTATAATTGTTACCGTAAATAAAATTGTATTTTTTATGTTTAACCTAGTAGCTTAAATTTGGATTTTATTTTGATTTTTTTTGATTTACCTACCTTGTAGGTTCCATTTTTCATATTTATAGCGTATACTTTTTATACTAGAGGGCCCAAGAGGACAAATGGACCAAAAGTCATTCTTCATAAAAAGTTCTGCTTGTTTTTAAAAGTCTATTACTATACTTTTTAATTTTATACGGGGGGTCGAAAAACAAGAAAACATGAAATACTCTCAGGAATAAACTACCTTTATTTTTCGTTTTGGAGCAAAATGACAAATAATATTATAAGGATATCCTATCCAAAGACTAATTGTAAAATTTCAACTCAGTATTCCAAATTTTCTTTTTCTTATAAAGTTTTAAAATTTAATTTCTAATTTATACTTTTGTACCTCATTTCACGTATCCTTTACCTATGTATAGGGTTCTTAACCCGGACATTTTGTATAAATTTACATTAATTACCAAAATGAACAATGATAGAATGCAAATTGTCAATTTGACGTAACTTGATTATTGTTGATTGTGTCATTTTTGTAAATATGAAATTAAATTTTAAAACTAAGAAAAATAAAATTTGGAATAATATTCCAAATTTTATTTTTCCGAATAAGTTAAAATTTTACAAATGGTCTTTGAATACAATTTGAAATCTTTTTTTTATTTGTCATTTTGCTCCAAAACGAAAAATAAAGGTAGTTTACTCCTGAGAGTATTTCATGTTTTCTTGTTTTTTGACCCCCCTGTATAATATTTTCAAATTTAAAGTATGGCAATAGACTTTTTTAAACAAGCAGAACTTTTTATAAGGAATGACTTTTGGTCGAAAAATGAAAATTTTAGTCCATTTGTCCTCTTGGGCCCTCTATCCATGGACATACTGTATAAAAAAATAAGTTGGTTTTTTATCGTCTCCGCCCCCCCCAAAAAAGTGTGCCTCGGGAGGGCTCTGATGCTACTGTAGAATGAGAACCTCTACTCTATAGATTTCTGGTCAAATTCTTGGCCAAGAATCTGGAACAATTCTTGTCCCATTCTTGATAAAAAATCTGTACAAAGTATCTTGACCCATTCTGGTCCAAGTCTTGCCCAATAATCTTGGCGAAGAATCTGGAACAATTCTTGTCCGATTCTTGATAAAAAATCTGTACAAAGTATCTTGACCCATTCTGGCCCAAGTCTTTGACAAAATTGCTACTAGGGAAGAAGCAGATGGGGGTAGTAATCTCACACAGTCAGATCTCATACCATGTGTGTGGTCACCCTTGCATATCCACTCTTTTAAAATCATTACTTACCATACTCAGCATAAGAAACATTATTTACGTCAACATAATAATAACTAAAAAAGGAAATTAATGACAAATCAATTTTTAATTAAAAATGTCTTACTCTTCAAGATTTTCAACGATAAAAGATAAAGGAATTAGTACTCCTTTACAGTTTCTTAATTTTATAACTTTTGTTTCTGGATTAACGTTGCAAATATCTTGCAATTGTTTTTTTAGCGTCTGGTAATCTAATTCTGGATTTAGCATAACAATTTTTTCTATTTCTTCAGGGTTTTCTAATAAAAAAAATTCACAATACTATTTAATGTAATATGAAAATAAAATTTTACCAGAAATATCATATCTTCTGATTTTAATAACAACATTATTCCTGTCCATTTTGTGAAGTTTTAAACTAAATTGATTATTTATAAAATGTCAAATTTTATGTCGTCAAATTTCAGGTTGGCCAACTTGAACTTAAAAAAAAACAGGTTGTTCATTTAAGGGTTTTTTACGTAAATTTGAAATGTGAAAAGTGTGCATGTCACAGACCTACAAACAGGTCTGTGGTGCATGTAGATGTTTAACTAATAAATAGGGATCGACCACAGACCTGTGGGATCGACCCTATGGAAAGTAAGTAAGTAAGAAACAAAGTGATGTACTATGCTCCACACCTCAAAGTCCCACCACGTGACCACGTACGGAACGCAGTCTTTTGGAAATTTGGCATTTAAGGCTTTTCAGGTAATGTATCTATCAAAGCTGTGTGTCAAAGTATAGTAAATGAAAGAAATAATATTTATTGTGTTACCGTTTAAGCGTTAAAAGTTAATAAATCACAATAACAATGGTTGGTTTAAGAATTTAGGAATATAAATACTGCATTTAATGAAATTCCAAAGTGTAAGGTGCAATATAAGTGATATTTTTGTGCATTGGGTCTACATTTCTCCATAAAATAGTTTTAACTAAACAGGATTTATTTAAAAAAATCTAACTTTTCTATTATGAAATAAGAATATCTGAATCAAAGGTAGGTTAATGTATTAAAACAAAAAATATCATCTAATTTTGTATTTTAAGGTTAGAAAAATCTATTTTGACCAAAATAAATAGGTGGATTATTTGGAAGTGTGTTAATATGGTCGTAAATAAATATGGGTACCTATACTAAATAATTGTTGAATATGGTTCAAATTAAATTGAAGCTTTTATACTTCTAACGACAAAACTTGTGCATACCTCTCGGCATACCTACTTTAAGTTAGATTATAAGAAAACAAACAATTTTTAGAGAAACTTGCAATGTGAAAATAGATAATACTACCATGACATGTGATTTATTAAAATATTAAAGTTATAATGATTTTTCGATGTAGATCAAATTCAGTCAAAGCTTTTTAACTATTTGTATTGACAAAATTTTATGTAGGTACCAAAGAAGGTACACTTTAAGCTGGATAAGAAAAACTACCACATTTTTAAATACCATATTATACTGTCTTTTAAATAATCAAAAATACTTATTTATTTTGTATATATTGTGTATTTTTCCCATTGAAACCAATAGCAACTAAATCAAGGGTGGATATCCCTATAGAACAACCATAAATCCCAACTATGGGTCCTATATATCGGTATCGGTATATATATATACCGATCGATACACCCTATAGAAACACCATACATTCCGATACAAATATCTATCGGTTTGAACAGGGTCTCTTTGGGGTATTTTAAGCAGGGAAGTGACTTCTTCACTCAACGCTTCTAATGTAAATTGAAAAGTGTCTCTGGAATTTTACTAGTTTTAAATACATTATTCTTTAAATATGGATAAGATAATAAGAATAATAAAAAACAAATATATCTACCGCGCCAAAACAAATTAACCAATTTTAAACTACGCGAAAATTGCTGGAGATTGAAATGCTGGTTTTTAGTTTATTTACGTCTAATAAGTTATTAGTATAATTATACTAATTAATTATAACTTAAGTTATTATTATTAGTTATTAGTAATAACCGAGCGATGATAGAAACGGGGCGCTTCAATCGTACTTCTTCCTTGGTGGCCTACGGTCTTAATGGTCTCGGTTTCAATGAACCACTTTGACCAGCAACAAGTTTTAATGTCCATGCGCTTCACGAAGCCATCCAACCATAGACACGTGAATTTTCCAAATCTTGGATCATCCACTCAAGTTATTGTACAAATCACAAAATACCTCGCTAGAAGGTCAAAGCTTGCGATTTTGTCCAAAAATACAGGTGTATTTCTATACCCGGAATCCAATTTTCTCCCTCCTGGGTCAAATTCAGCTATGTTTCATACTTTTAATCGAGCAATGTCCCAGAAATGAAATAGACCTATCCCATAAAACGGACTTTTGGATAGCGCGTGCGTGAAAAGGCGCGTCATCTTTTTTTAATTACATAAAAGAGAAAGAGATACCACTCTTCTTCAGGCACGCGCTATCCAAAAGTCTGTTTTATGGGATAGGTCTATTGCGATGCACCACACACGAAAGACAAAACTGAACTGAATCGCACATGATACAGCGTAAGTGTAAAGTTACCTATAGCCATATATTTATAGATCTACTGTAACAATATATATAGAATATAGAATTACTTACAATATATTATGTGTATAGCAATTTTTGCTAAATAATTAACCCCAACAAATTAGTGTACACATAGGTAGTACGTGGAGAGCCGACAATTGTTTAAAATTTTACGTAAAACGCTTTATTGTGTATATAAGGGAGTTTGCGTGTTCGTGTTGCAGACTTCAAATTGATCTTTGTCGGGCTAACCTAAAAAAATTACTTTATTCTGTTTGTGGGTTTGTTTCGTGCAGAAAATCGTAAAGATGACTTAAAAATGAATGAAATGTGAAGGGACAAAGAATTGCGAGATAATATACTGTGCCATGGATACAAAAAATATGATCGTCTATTAGGTATAGGTTTGTCAAAAATGAAGATTTCAACAAAAATTTGCACATCAAAAGTGTTTAATTTTAATAGCTATTACACAAGCTCACACAATAAATACAAGAATTTCTTTTTTATTTTGCTATTTTTGATTCTGTTAATTTCGGTTTTATTTATATTCTCATTGTCTTGGAGTAGTTATGATGAATCAAAAAAATTCGAAAAAGTCAAGTTGGTAAACATCTACAATTTACCGGAAGTTATTATAAAATCCGGCACACCAACAAAACCCAGAAATGTACATTGCACCCACTGGAACTGTTTTAATATTTACAAATGTGGACATTCAGCCTTTGACAGGATATCTGTGTATGTTTACCCATTAAAGAAGTATGTGGATGAAGATGGGGTACCAGCTACAGAACTCATGTCTAAAGAGTACTACCAACTTCTTGAAGCTGTGATTAATTCGAAATATTACACTGCCAATCCCAATAAAGCTTGCATATTAATTCCATCCATTGATACACTAAATCAAGGCAGATTAAGGTCAAATTTAACATCAAAGGCATTGAATTCCCTTCCACAGTAAGTATTTAAAATAATATTTTAATTTGTTTTAAGAATATTTGTACTAAATGTTATGCAAAAGCTTGATTGTATCTAAGGAATATACATTTTTAAACATAATTTTATATAATTAGGAACACTTAAATTAAAGCACAAACAAAAATAATCATTTGAGCTATAAAATGAAATAAATTATATATAAATGCCAAATTAATGATATTGTACACAATGAAAACGTCGATTTTAAAAGTTTTTTTCTATGAAACATACCAAATATGTGTAGGTTATTTTTAATATTTCAAAAAAATTAAATTTTAAAAATATATGGGATGTTCAATTAAATAAAAAACAACCAAATTTAAGTTTTTTAAAACAACTTCCCCTATAGTTTGTGTGATATTTTTGGGACAACCTGTATAGTGTGTTATTTTCAAGATTTTAGGTAGATTTTGCAAAAAATATATGTACGTATGTTGTGACTTTATAATATTATAAAGTCACAACATTATTTAATACTAGCTGTTAAACCGCCCCCCTCCTCGGCAACAGCTATACCGCGGACGGCCATGGAGGATATGAAAATATGGACCAAAAAAAAATGAAACAAATCAAAAAAGTAAAAAAAGTAGAAAAAAGTAAAAAAAGTCGAAATCAATCAATCAATCAAACTCTTTATTTACATCGTCAGAAACTACAAGTTTATAGAGTATATAGAACAATACATATCACAAACATTTATTATTATAATATTCAGGTACAAAAAAAAGTCAAATAAAGTTTTAAAAAAGTAGCCAATGTTATTTTCTGGTCCATAAGAATATCTCTTTGCAAAAAAATTCGTCGATAAAACACTGGGTTTATTTTGTTAAAACAAATTTAAAAACGGCTACGATAAAGGAAAACGAAGAAAAATGTCTACTTTAACGTGTTTTTGTTTTTTTGATGTTCTAAATTTAAAAAAAACAAAAAAACAAAAACTCGTCAAAGTTAAATTTTTTTAATGAAATGTCGGTTTATAATAGAGGGCAAGGCGATTTTGGGCCCAAAACGAGTTAGGTACTTTTTATTAAAAAAGAGAAACCGAAAAAATCCCATGATAGTAGAGACTAAAGAAAATATAATTTATACATATAACATATTATAACATATAATATATTATAACATATTATGTGGAAATTGGCTCTAGAGATAAATTAACGATGTCTGGGTCATAGAATGGCTTAGTTATGGATGCTCTGACTTCATTCTTATCAACATTCCCCTAAATCCTTATTAACTCCCCGTGCTCAGCCTCTTGGCGATTTTTCGATATAACTGTCAATCTTTTGAATGTTTAAATCATTTTTGCAGCATTATAATTTCAAAAAGTATTAAAGTATTTTTTTGATTGAAGAAAGGTATTATGTAAGCTAATTTTAAAATTAATGACTTCGAAAATATACGTTTTTTGTTAAGAATAAAGTTCCCCTTAACATGATTTGTAAATTCAAAGCCGATAGGCATAGTGGATAAGGTGCTAAACTACGTTATGTCATCATGTAGCTTATTAATAAATGCAGGGCCCTAGTTCGATTATTTATTTTATTCCTATATTTCTTTTCTTCCTTTGACTATGGTTTTTAAGGAAATTTAAATTTTATATAGCGCCTTCTAGGAAAATTTTTAATAACCACCAGGGGAGGACCGTTGACTTTGAGAGCCCTGGACTAAAGCTCTTTGGGGGCCTATCAAAAATTATATATAACAAACAAAACAACAAATTCTTACGTCAAAAATAAAAAAAAACAAGAAAAAAATAACACTTATTCTTAATAAAATAAATGAACACAAATAATAGTATATTATGTTTTATTTTTGATAAAAGCCATTTTAGACACGAGCGAGCTTGCGAGCGAGTGCTTAAATTAATGAATGTCTAGAAAAGTTTATAAACGAGTTGCATACTATACTTTCTCTACAACAAATACTTATTATTATGTAAAAATGATTTATATTAAATATTTGTATAGAGCGACATCTATAAAACAATAGGGGAATGTGTTACTTTTTCTGGGGTAAACAAAATTATTTGCAAAATAACTCATTTTTAATGCTGCTCAAAAAATTAATAATGATTTGGGCACCCTCTTAATCCTTTTAAGAAAAGTTCCAAATGATGATCAACCTTTTGAGCATTATTAAAAGTTATTTTACAAATAATTTTACTAAGCCCATAACAAGTTTTTGGCACTTGGTTCCTCTTTGATAATGTATCGCTTGAAAATGGATTATCAGAAGTTTTTCACAGTGAAATGAAGAATATGTTTTATGAGCACTTCACGGTGGTCCGAGGCCAAATTTAAAAGATATCTAGTTTACTGCCGGCGAAATTTAAAAGTCAGTATAATGTTCATATAAACTTTTCTAATATTGGCGTTGAGAAACTATTTAATGCTTTTGTATTTTTTAATTGAGATAATAAAATAATTTTCACATTTAGTATTATTTTACAAGAGGGGTACTTTATTTTAACTATTGTATGACATTTGACAACTGCCAATTAACTTAAAGCTAACTTCAGGCCGTGACTAATACCTGTTGCTAACTAAAACGCCATAAAGCCACAACTTGTCAATGAGTATTTAAAAGGTCACTAAGTGTGATGAAAACATGTACGATAATGGGCGTTTTAAAGGTGGGAGTAGAAAAAAATAAATAAAACATTCTAGCATTTATACAAGGTGTCCCGATAAGACCTGTACAATGCAAGGCCACATATTTCTTGGTTTCAAATAATTTGAATTAATCCAACCTACCTAAATAAAAATTGCTTTGTTTAGCTGCTAGCTGCCTTTAATAGTATATTATGTATCAAGTTTGATAAACGCCATTTTATACACGAATTTAATTTAGGAACGAGCGAGCTTGCGAGCGAGTTCTTAAATTAATGAGTGTATAGAAAAGTTTATAAACGAGGTGCATACTATACTTTTTCTACGACAAATACTTATTATTATCATCTTAAAATGATTTAAATCAAATATTTTTATAGAGCGCCATCTATGAAACAATAGGGGAATCTCTGTGTCACCGTCAAATGTCAAATTTTTATAGTTTATAAACACAGATTATATATATATATATATATATATATATATATATATATATATATATATATATATAGGTTATAGGTTATAAATCGAAATGTATTTCTTGTTTTCTCCCGATTTATTAAAAAAAAACAATTTGCTTATAATTATTTACTTAATTTAACCCAGTTTTCTCCCAATTTAAACGTATTTAAAAAAGATTAAATAATAAAATATTTTATACTGCAGTATATACTATACATAATATGTATATTAGGGTGTCCCTTATTTTTTATTTTTTTACGCATACCCTCTAATTATATTTATTACGTGTTTATATACTCCCAGTAAAAATTTCAGCTCATTCTATAAACGGGAACCCGTGCCGACTTGCATCTGAACCCTCCGTGAGCCAACGTTAGGCGCGCGGTATTTTGTAACACGGTTGGCCGCGAGGTCTTCGATCGTAAGTCATTTTGTGTTTGTTATTATGTGACCCTTATATTATAAATTATTGACAAATGTTAAAATATAGTTTTATTTATGTGTATACTTTGATAAAAATGTATATTTTCACAGGGAGTGGACAGTTACCCGGAAGGGTCTAGTGAATATGCCGTAAACTCTGAAATTGATAAACTTAATGGGATTTACTCTAAATAACTAAAAGAGTCTATTGTGAGAGATGACTACCGAAAACTGTCTGAAATATTTTTGGGAGGACATCAAGAAAAGAAATGCTTATAAAAAGCTGAAATTTCATATAACAGTATATTTTAGCAATACTAATTAGTATATTAATATATTTAAGGGATAAAATCAACTAATTTTTTTTTGGTTATTTTTTAGCTGTCATTCAGATATAATAAAAAAAAGAGTTTCGGGTAATTAGGTTTACGGCCTATTCACCCGACACTTCCGGGTAACTAGCCAATTCCTGTAAAAATATTCATTTTTATTAAAGTATACACATAAATAAAACTATATTTTAACATTTTTTAATAATTTATAATATAAGGGTCACATAATAACAAACACAAAATGACTTACGATCGAAGACCTAGCGGCCAACCGTGTTTCAAAATACCGCGCGCCTAACGTTGGCTAATGGAGGGTTCAGATGCAAGTCGGCACGGGTTCCCGTTTATAGAATGAGCTGAAATTTTTACTGGGAGTATATAAACACGTAATAAATATAATTAGAGGGTATGCGTAAAAAAATAAAAAATAAGGGACACCCTAATGTATATATATATAGTATATATTATATACTGTAATATATTTATCTATAAAATTTAATAGCCTCATGATCCTGTTAAAATATCACCCATTAATATTATTGGTTGCTAATACCGATTTTACATTTAAATTAAATAGGTAGGTACTTACATGAGACTTTTTTTTTATTTTGGAATTATATAACTGGTTAACGGATTAATTAATGGACTAAAATAAACAGAGAGAACTAAACGCCCCACAATAAAGTTTACTTATTATTTTATGATAAATCTACTCGATAAAAAATTATTTAAGACTTAAGACAATAGGAATTTAAATTCCTAGCAAATTTTAAGTTTTTCTTACTTTTCCGGTAAAACCATCAGTATAAATACAAATATGTTTTGCAATAAAATTGATATTTTCTTAAAATTGATTAGTATTTTATCAGAAATATTATTTTGCAACTGTTGAACTATAAGTTTTAAAAAGTCCTATAACGTTTTGTTATCAGTCTGATCTGAGTTTTAGCGGAAAAGTAAAAAAAAACATGAAATTTATTATAAAGTAATTTTAAGCTTGAATAACTTTTGAACAAAGATTTATTATAAAATAATAAGAAACCTCTTTGTATAGCGTTTACTTTAAATAATCTATAAAAATAATATATTTAAAATATGTTTTTTTTTATTTAAGTCCATTAATCCGTTAAAAAGATATATTATTCCAAACTATTTTTTTCCACGTTATTTAAATAAAAAATCGCGATGAGGGGCTTAATAATAATACTAAGGGCTGTAATTTTTAACAGTCTCAATATTTTAATTAGTCAATTTTTTAATCAGTCTCATTTATATTTTATTTTGTATTTTCATCGAGCAGGGGGCCCCTTGATCGGATGGGGTCCTGGGCTGCAGCCCATTATTCCCATGCCTAAATCCGCCCATGATAACCAGTGCCACTTATACGAGTTGGTCCATACTTGGCGTAATCGTTTGAAGTTTGAAGTGAAACAAGATTTCGTCTATACAAACCAATAAATTTAAGTGGCCAGAATTACCAGATGTTGTATGTAAATGCCAATGCGTTGTTAACTTAAGTGGGCTTATTATGAAAGGCGTTTGTTTACAGATTTAAAAAATATGTTTTTTGTTAGGTTGTAATGCTATTTTTAGAATATAAATTTGTATCATTGATTTATTGTTTACGAGTAGATGTCGTTTTATTTTTTAATGATAAATTACCATAATTAAAAATAATAATACTAATAAAAACTCGCTTTATTTATCATTCTGATTGGTCCTCACTTTTATTTTTAATAGTTTTTTGTTCATTAATGAAGTTTCAAAAATTGAAACCTTCTAAAATATTTAAAAAATAATAGTACAATTGCAATGATGTGTAGTGTCCTTTAAATTTTTTCTTTTATTTGAAGTAAGGTTCGTGGGTTTAGGACGTAAAATAAAAAAAAACTTCCTTTTTTTAAGAAAAATTGCCGACGTTTCGAAAATAAAGAAATAAATATTTTCGAAATGTCGGCAATTTTTCATAAAAAAGAAAGTTGTTTTTATTTTACGTCCTAAACCCACGAACCTTACTTCAAATAAAAGGAAAAAATACAATTTTAATGCCATAAATCCCAAGTAAGATCGACCTTTACCCATCTGCTCACCAGATGAAAATTATATTTTATCAAATAAAATATGTTTCTGAACATAAACCAAAAGGGTTGCCATAAAAAATATGATCATGGCTATAATAAATAAAAATTATGAAAAATAATTTATTTTTAAAATTTTACTGACTTGCTTGCCAAATGAACGAAATTCCAATGGAAAGCATACAACATATAGAATATGTAACAGCTAGGTTGTCTACCTTTTTCTGGTCCCTATTACCTGGTTGCTGTTTACAAACAGGTAAGTTGATATCAGTAATTGCACATATGCTTACCATTTGAAAAATATATCAAAATGAAGGCAATTTTACGAATACAGTAGTATAGGATTCCTTTGAAAAATCCGTTCATAAATAACGGTTGCTAGGCTTTTAAATTAAAAAATTGGAGCAAGCAAAGATGTACATCGCTAACAAAAAAACTCATACAGCTATATTGTGGCGCGCGAAGCGTGCTTCCCTATCGCTCAAGCAGCGGATCGCGAAAAAGTGACAAGGAGGACAGCTAGGGCAACTTTAAAGGTATGCATCGACTCCCCCCTTCCCTTGGTGATATGTCGTGAGATTTTTTTAAATGCATGGTTTTAATGTAAATAAGTTAATCTGTGCTTGATTCCATTAGATTTATTAAAAAAAACAATTTGCTTATAATTATTTACTTAATTTAACCCAGTTTTCTCCCAATTTTACACTGTTTCATTCGAAAAGAAAAAATTACGTGATATTTGCCGAGACCACCCTCCCCCCACGTGAGATTGGGTGAGGTTTGGCTCGACCCCCTCCCCCCCCTAAACACCTCACGTAATTAATGGATGCCCCCTAATTCGTTTCCTATTGCAAACGGGCCGGATCCGCCGGAAACTTTTCGAGCTGCGATCTCTTTTGATTTTTTTGTAGGGCGAGAGAAATTTTTGAAATTGGCCGAACGAAATGCACGAATCGACGGGTAAAAGACCAAAGTTTGACAGAAGATAAACTTTATAGAATAAAACTAATTGGCCAGAAGCCCGTTTAAATTTTCTTCGGTATTTAAAAAAGTTAACCAATTAAAATCCCTGAAATCAAATCGATAACAGGGGATCCAACAAAATATTAGGTAACAATGCGGCATTGCCAAATTTAATTGCGGTGTTGCCAGCTTTTGCATAAATGCAGATGACAGGTGCCAGATGACAGGTGAAAGATGAGAAATGGCAGTTGACAGATGACAGGTGACAGATGTGACAGATGAAAATTGACAGATGACACAACACAGGTGACAGATGACAGGTGACAGATGGTCATTTAAAACTTATTGAATTTGATGGAGACCAGACACCTTTAAAAATGGTATTTTGGTCGTTTTAAGTCCAAACATAATTTAAGGTAGTTTAGTAAAAAGTAAGTGAAAAAAAACCAAAAAATTTTGGACTTAATACCCTATTGCTCTGAGCTATAGATATTAGTTTTATCCTTTTCTATACCTACTATGAGTAGAAAGCATGCTGTTGTACTGCGTCCTCCTCGGCGAGGAGTCCTCGCGTAATGCTTCTCTGTCATACATCTTTGCTTGCTCAATTTTTTTAATTTAAAAGCCTAGCAACTTTTATTTATGAACGGATTTTTTAAAGCAACCCTTTACTACTGTATTCGTAATAAAATTGCCTTCATTTTGATATATTTTTCAAGTGGTAAGCATATGAGTGTGATTACTGATATCAACTTAGCTGTTTGTACACAGCAACCAGGTAATAGGGACCAGAAAAAGGTAGGCAACCTAGCAGTTACATATTTTGTATGTTGTATGCTTTTCATTGGAATTTCGTTCATTTGGCAAGCAAGTCAGTAAAATTTTAAAAATAAATTATTTTTCATAATTTTTATTTATTACTGCCATGATCATATTTTTTATGGCAACTCTATTGTTATATGTTCAGAAACATATTTTGTTTGTCAAAATATAATTTTCCGGTATAAGCAGATGAATATATACAGGGTATTATACCCTATAATGTACTATAATAGTCCATTTAAATTAGAAGATACATCGGCCTATTTTCGGAAAAAAAAATCCCAGCTAAGATTTTTTTCGGTATTTTGTTTATATGGGTAATAATGTCTTAAAAACCCCAAGGTCACGAAAAACAGTTTTTCTGGGTTATCTAGGAAACTATTGATTTTACGTGCATTTTGGTTATTATTAAATCTGTTCCTTATGTAATTATAATGTATCAGCATAAAAGTTTCTATACACAATATACGTATGACTAATTATTATAGTTCTCGAGATATGAGGCTGAAAAAGTTGGATCAAACGTACTTTAATATACGCTGATTTTTAAAATTATAATTTTTAAAAAATCGTTCATGAATTAACAGCTAAGAAAAAAATTACAATGGTAGTTATATGCAACGCGTTGCTAAGAGATATTTTTAATTGAAGGATTTTTCCTTATGGATAAGGATTGGACGCTAATAATACATTAATGTAAGCGTCGAATAAGAAAAAATGTTCAGATCACAACGTCTTTATAACGCTGATTTAAAAGTGGTTTAACCCTCGCTATACGCTTACATCGCGAAAATCAGTTTTTCTCGATTATCTCGTTAACATAAATTTTTTTCATCAGTATAGGACCACACGGCTGAATATTATGTGCACTTTTTAAACACCCGGTTTTAAATAAATTAAATGTGAGGGCAGATTTCTAGATTTTTGACATCTGTTGTTTTTGACATCTTTCGGCCAGGTGTCAGACAGGGACAGATGTCTAAAATGGTCTGTGACAGATATTAAAAATGAGCCATGACAGGTGTCAAAAAGGACAAAAAATTAAGGACAGTTAAACGATGTCAAATAATAATAAATAATAAACTACTTTTCTCATGGCTTGCTCAAACGTCGTATTTATATCCCTCCCTTACTTATGCACAACCACTCATTCATTTTACCACGAAAACACAAACGAATTTGATACCCCATCCGCAAAGAAGTTTAAAATATGTATTTGATTTTTAACATTAAATAAATTCTTTATGTTCACCTGTTCACAGTTTAGATACAATTCGGATACACGTATCGCTACTAGGCTCATTTCAATACCTAGCATTTCATCGCCGCGGAGCTCCGCTAGAATACCCAAAGTCTGTAGGTGCAGTGTGGGTTGCGCCTGTCCTGGCAGTGGTGCAACGGTCTGTGATGGTTTTTTTTTTAAATATGGGGGAACAATAAAAGACTGGTTAAATAAAAAATATGATTTTTACCAAACGCAAACAAAGGCCGTTACGAAAAAAATTGTTCTCTGGTAAAATGCGCGTACGCAAAAAGCGCGTTGCTTACCAATAACTCTATTGCAACAAACATTCCAACAACCTTGAAACACTTTTCAATTTGAAACCAAGTTTTGTATTATACTTTTTAACTTACTTTAGGGACTTTAAAGAAACTGTCACAAATACCTGATACCTGATTTTTTATTAAATAATTGAAATCAAATTTTAATGTAATAAAATTCCGCTACAAATTAAACGCTCGGTAAATTATTTAACTCCATGACACTTTCGCATACCTACATTAATATAGAAGTAAGATGTTTTTTATTATGAAATATGAACGTTCTATATCACTTTTTAATGTGGAATTACCTATAAGGTGTTACAGAATATTTATTTTATCACCGGTTTCAGTGTGACAATAATTTGGGTCAATCGGGTTGGGTTATTCCAAAATCATCATAGTCGCCTGTCGTTTAAAATCTAACATCTGTCAAACTTGTTTAACCTCACTTTCTCCTACTTATTGATTTGTTTATTTATTTTTTTAAGTAAGTAGAAGTATGGTAGAAAAAGTGTTTGGAAGTGGCTATTCGGCATATTTCGCTTATTAAATGCAAATATTTTTTTAGCTGGAATGGAGGAGAGAACCACTTAATTTTTAACCTGATTTCCGGAAGCAGCCCTGACTTTGCTCCGGTGGTTGAGTTGGATATCGGAAATGCCCTTTTAGCCGGAGCAGGATTTGATACTTACAGCTTCCGGGAGGGATTCGACATACCCTTGCCTCTCTACAGTCCAGTGGCGCACTTGGGTAAAGTCGATCATATCCAAAGAAATAGGTAGTTTGTTTTCTTTCCCTTTATAAATAATTTGCTTTTAATTATTATTATTAATTATTATATATATTAATTATTTTGAACATAATAGTTTTTAAAATGCAAACACGCAAAAATACTTATATCTTAACAAGTTATAGTTCAGGGTTTTCCCAATATACACTCGACCGCAAAGTTAACCGGACACTTGATTTTTCCTTAATAACATTTCTTAAACGCCCTGTTTATTGATGTAACAACTATACACACATAAAAAAATAAGATTAAATTATGTTAAAGTTTTTTAGGCTTTAAAATACGACGATGACATTGTTTTATACATTTTTTATATCTTTAACATTTGAATTGTTTGGAAGAGCTCTTCAATTCATTACTTATTTAAAAAAGCTCTTTAATTAATTTTTTATCCTGTTTGTTTTTGGCCTTATACGGTTTTTCTAAGTTTTTTAAAGTTATTTTTATTTAAAAAATCTGTAATGACTCCCGAAGAAGCCGCTCAAGCTGTTGCACTTAACAATGATGGACGCAGCATACGGTATATTGGCAACTCACTTAATATTCCCTGAAGTACAGTGTCTGATGCAATTCAAAGGTTTAGGGAAACAGGTTCCTATTCAAGATTACCTGAACAAGGAAGACCGCGATCAACAAGTGAAGTTGAAGACCGTTTTCTTCGACTTCAAGTTCTGCGATACCGGACCCTTCCTGCCTTGTCTAGGAGATTGGAAGATGTTCATGGTACATCCATTTTATCAGGTACTGTACTAAGAAGACTGAGGGAACATAATTTAGTGCCCCATCGACCTGCCACTGGCCCACTGTTGGACGCAGCCCATCGTAGACAGCACTTGAAATTTGCGCGAACCCATGTGGATTGGGGTATAGTTTAATGGAGTCGTGTTTTCTTTGCGGATGAGTCCCGTTTCACCAGATACTCACCTGGTCGTCGACAACATGTGTTTAGACGACCCAGAATACAGTTTGGCGGTGGATGTGTAATGGTTTGGGGATGCATTTCTTTTGAGGCTCGTAGGGCATGCCGCGGCACTTGTAACGTTTCAAGGGGGTAGTATAAACGCTGACAGGTACATTGGAGACCAATTCTTACTTATTCAGAATAATGCTCGGCCGCACACAGCCCAGGTAACGCGTCAGTACCTTCGCGACGTTGGTATTCAAGTTAATGGATTTATTAAAAATAATTAAAATTTGTTTATATTTTCTTATGTTTTCCAGAAAAACAAAGTGTCCGGTTAATTTTGCGGTCAAGTGTATATAATATAAATAATTTAATTAATTCAAAGAAATTTACTCAACATTTTATCTTGGTAAGAAAAAGATAACAACAAAAATAAATAATTTTATCTAGTAATTTTTATGTAACATAGTGTGTTTAACATATTTACAACACTTTTTTGAATGGGATGAATCATCATTGTCCTAATATTTAATTATAATAATAATATTAATTTATTATTTAATATAAATATAAATAGGTAATCATAAATATAGAAAATACATTATTTTTTACCAGTGTAGAACAAAGGTAAAATACTTATAAAATGAATAAATTATATTGTAACAACAAATATTTATAAAAACTGCGGACCACTCAATGTGTCGCGACCAAAAATTTCGTAAAAATAAAATCGTAAATTTCCTACATCTAAGCCCCGTTTTAAAAAAAATATTTTTTCTCGTTTTTACTTTGAAATAATGAAGTCTTACCTTGAAAAGTTTTCAAATTTTTCGAATCGGGATCTTAGCAACGAAAATATGATTTTTTTCCAAAAGAGTACCTTTGAGGATTTTTGGTAGGCAATACACTCGTCTTTTTAAGAAAATGAAGATAAGATGGTGAAAGATTGTTCCTTAAATAATTCTGAACAAGCAAAAAGCAACAAATTTCCATTATTTTAAGAGAGGCCTAAGCAAAAACCACTTTTTCAAAATGACATTTTTCTGAAAATTTGCGAAAACTAAACCTGAACCGATACGTTCGTGACATGTTTTCTTTATAGGTTTGACTTCTTGATTGTGATTCAGTTGTCAAATTTAAGTTTCAGATAAAACCAAAATCACCAAGAATCAAAATTCGGAAACAATTCCTGGCTTTTAAATGTCTTAATAACATGCCTTTGCCAATTCCATTTGGGGATCCATTTCATTGGCGAAATTACTGCAATTTGTTGTGAGTGGTTTGGATAATGTTACATAACTTACATTTACATTGCGCACTAGTGATAACTAGCTAACGCTGATTACTGATAAGTACCTACCTAATTCGTAATAAAGTTAAACAAAATAGTTTTGATCATTTTTGAAAATTTTAAGCGAAGATATAATCATCAAAATTACAACATTCAATAGAAAAATGTAACAAACAATAACAATAATAAATTTCAATATTTCGTTGGCCCTCCCCTAACCCGTAATAATTCGTTAACCCTCGACCAAGTTCCTTAGAAATTCCTGGAGTATGGCTTCCCATTCTTCCTGAATAGCATTTACCAATTTATCCTCTCTTTCATCTTCAGTTTCATCCTGCTCAACACATGCTCAATAGGATTCATATCCGGAGACAAAGGTGGCCAATTCGTTCTCTCAATATCGTGGTCCTTCAAATACTCATTTATGATATTGGCGCGGTGCCGACAGGCATTGTCGTCCACCACCAAATTATTGGAAAATTTTGAGCATTAGGGACCACGATATCACTGACACAAAAATCTCTATATTTCAGCATTCATTACCAATTCACTCTTTTCATTCATCGCCATTCCACCCCAAACAGTCACTCCTCCACCTCCAAAAGCCACCCTTGCCTGCCATTTCATCATTTAAAGGAAGAATGGAATTAACCTGGCTAAGATGGGCGTAGGTATGTAGGTAGGTAGGTATAACTTATGCAAAAAAAACTTCGAAATTTGAAAAAACACTAACAAACTGGAAAAAAACAGGAATATCCCTCATAATGCGTTTTGAATGTTTTTCAAGAACTAATTTTCATCATTTGATTCTTGATTTGATCATTCAGCGACATGATAATAACGTACTAAAGATGCAAAACACATTAAAAAAGCAGTAAAAACCAGCAATCGGATTTTATTGAGAGATTTAACAGCCAGGAATTGTATTCGAATTTTATTCTTGGGGATTATGGTTTTATCAGAAACTTAAATTTGACAACTGAATCACAATCAGGTCAAAATTATGAAGAAAACACCGACGTAAATATCGGTTCATGTTTAGTTTTCGCAAATTTTCACTAAAATGTCATTTTGAAAAAGTGGTTTTTGCTTAGGTTCCTCTGAAAATAATGGAAGTTTGTTGCTTATCGCTTGTTCAGAATTATTCAAGGAACAATCTTTCACCATCTTATCTTCTTGTTCTTAAAAGCATCAAATGTACTCTATTGAAAAAAAAATCATATTTTTGTTGCTAAGATTCCAATTTGAAAAATTTGTAAATCGTTTCAAGGTAAGACATAATACTTCATTATTTCAAAGTAAAAACGAGAAAAAAATATTTATTTTACAAACGGGGCTTGGATGAAGTTTTTTCACCGTTTTACATATCACCCTGTATGAAATTAACTAGAAAAACCTTGAGCTTCATATCTATAGCATGAATTACCAGAGGATGAGGCTAGCAGACATCACAGTCCAAAATAAAATTGTTCGTGAAACAAAAAAATTATGTCGTTTTGAAAAAGAACGAACTTTTGTCAGATTTAGTGATTTTAACATATGGGTGTATAAATCAGTTAAAACCTCCCAAAACATTTATTTTATTATTTTTAAAATAGCAATGAAATCCTGTATATTGCCATGGCATGCATGGTTTAAGATTTATTTACAAGGGTGGATCAATAAATCCATGACTTTTTGAATTTCCCGCGTTGAAACTCGAAAAGTTTCAGTTAATTGCCATATGTCAGACTGCTGTAAAATTTTGAGCAAGCCATGGAGCCTACAAAAGGAGTATGAATTCCATGTATACTAATCTTGTTCTAAGATACTAATGGTTGTTTGGTTTGAACCGAAACAGCAGACGTCAGTACAAAATGGAAATCAGCGCCGCTAGTGGTGGAAAAATAACACGTAATTTGGACAATTTAGTAGGCAATTTCTGTCAATTCCACCTATAAAGTTTGTACTTATTATGTCTTAAGCTGGATTTATAGTTTTAAAGGTAACGGTAGAGGCAGCGGTAAAGGTAGAGGTAAAGGTAGCGGTAGCGGTAGCCGAGTTCGGCATTGAATATTGTACGAAACAATTTATAGTTGTCAGAGGTAGCGGTAAGAGAGGTAGAGGCAAGAAGGTAGCGGCAAGAGATGACCATCTTTCAACTTTTCTTACCTCAACCGCTACTCCAGCCAATCACACAGCAGTTTACAGTTGGCAGCCTCGCCTTGTAAGTTTACTTTTTATGCGAGGGGCAACCAGACTTGATAATTTGTCAAAAATGGGCACCGTCATTTGTGTATTTAAAGAACTAATCTTTATCGGTCAATTTTATTTTATTTTAATACTGGAAATGGCGTTTCTTAGCTCGTTCCCGATTTAATTCCCTCATTTTATAGCGACGTACTTGACGACCCCCATAACGTACTTGAAACCCTGCAATACAACATAATATCTTGTATATATTGTATAATATATTGTATATATAATATATTGTGTTGCAGGGTTTATTATATAATATTTCGCACAACGCCATATGGCCCAGAAGCACAGCATTGTTCTCGCAATTCATGTTTTCATAGAAAACAACCTTTTGCTATTAAATTTTAGAAACAAAATTACAATCTGCATTAAAGTACGCATGCCTCGTCAGTACCGCTACCGCTACTTTCGGAACTATAAATTGCAGAAAGTGATACCGCTACCGCTACCTTTACCTCTACCTTTACCGCTGCCTCTACCGTTACCTTTAAAACTATAAATCCAGCTTTAGGCCGTCAATTTCAATGGTAAAGAAGTGGTTTACTGAACGTTCCAGAAGCCTAGAATTCATGGGCTTATTATATGGCTTAGTGACTTGATTTTGAATAATCACTTGTGTATTATAAAAAGAAAGCTATCCGAAAAATGGGTGCCGCCTTGTTCAAATTGCTGTTCGACTTGCTTCCTCAATCGCCATATTTTCTAGATTTTTCCACTAGTGACTATTTCCTGTTTTTAAACCTAAAAATGTTGTTAAGAGGAAAAAGATTCGGCTGCAACAATAAAATAATTGCTCAAAAAACGCCTATTTTGAGGACCTTCACAAATCTTAAAATTTGAAAGGGTTAAAAAATTGATGTCAAAGGAAAAATATAATGTACAGAAAAACGACAATTTTTTAAAAAAGTCACGGACTTTTGACTCACCCCATATAATGTCCTAAATAAACCAAAAATGTTAAGTGAAGTAAAGCAATAAAAATGTAAAATTTAAATTAAACCCAAATATTTCTTTTGTTTTTGGCATGAAATCTTCTAAGACAAATAACGTATGGGTAATTATCTTTATTTATGCTTTCAAGCAATATTAAATTTTAACAAATTAAACATTGCTATAGCAATCCCGAACTCACATAAACAACTATACTTTTTCGTGTATTAGTTTTGAAATTCGCCTGTAACTTTTTGTTCCATACATCACGTTTGGTGGTTACTCTTGTATATTTAAACAGTTCAAATTGAAATTGTTTACATGCTTTTTCAGAACGTGGTTAATAACATCGTCCCAAATAAACATAAATCCGCATTTCTTGAACGAGCTGCAGAAGTTGTCGTACCAACACCGCAACCAAATACAAATTTTGGACGCGTGTGCCGGCATCGGAAACTACACGCAACGTTGCGACGTCTCATCGGAGTCGGAGCACGCTTATCCCCAACTTTTGCAGGAAAGCACGTTTTGCATGGTGTTCAGGGGCGAGCGTATGGCGCAGTTCGCGCTGCTCGAGGCTCTGGCCGCCAATTGCATCCCCATATTTGTAATAGACGGAGCAGTATTGCCATTTAAAAATGTGATAGACTGGAAACATTCGGCCATATTCGTGATGGAAGATTACTTAGGCACTGTAATTGATGTCGTGAGCACGATTTCTAGCAAAAGAGTCAGAGAATTGCAGAGTAGCGTTAAGTTTATTTATGATAAGTATTTTTCGAGTATTGAAAAAATAGTCATTACGAGTTTAGATGTTGTACAGGATCGTATTTATCCACAGTGGAGAAAGGTCTACGATCAAACTAATTTAGTGAGACGAGAGGATAACTCAAATCCTTTATTTTTTCCTATAACAGCGCCCAAATCTCACGGGTTTACCGCTGTTATTTTAACGTATGATCGAATCGAAAGTCTTTTTACTTTGATTGAAAGGCTGTCCAAAGTTCCTAGTCTCATGAAAGTCCTGGTGGTTTGGAACAACCAAAAGAAAAGTCCGCCTCCATGTAAGTAAATATTGCTTTAAAGAATCTGTATATTTTATGATTTTTATATTTTAGTATCAGAATTTCCTGCAATATTAAAACCAATAAGACTTATAAGAACAAAAGAAAATAAATTATCAAATAGATTTTTACCTTTTAAAGAGATTGAAACAGAGGCTGTTTTACATATCGATGACGATATCGTCATGCTTACTTCGGATGAAGTCGAATTTGCCTATGAAGTTTGGAGAGAATTTCCTGATAGAATAGTTGGTAAGTTATTAAAAACATGGTCATAAAAAATACGTTTACCTGTGTTTTTTATTGCTTTTTAATAATATAGTTTTATAAAGAAGCCAAACAAAAGTTACTTCTTTGATTTTGGCTTTGAATGTTTTTCTTGTAATGGAATTGCATACAAAATTTGTTAGAAATTAATTTATGTAAGAAATATTTCTTATATACTTTTCATTGTTTAAAAAAAAATAATTCTCATAAAATATGTTGCCGTAACTTATTACCACTATTATTATAATAATAACAATGGTCAACATCCATTTTGACAAAAGTTACTTCTTTGATTTTGTCTTTGAATGTTTTTCTTGTAATGGAATTGCATACAAAAATTTGTTAGAAATTAATTTAGGTAAGAAATATTTCTTAAATACTTTTCATTGTTTAAAAAAAAATAATTCTCATAAAATATGTTGCCGTAACTTATTACCACTATTATTATAATAATAACAATGGTCAACATCCATTTTGCCACAGAGTGACCAACTACTTTTCTAGGGTAATTTGAGTCGATTCCAAAAATACCCATTTACAATTATTGGATGGCGCAGTGGTAATCAATCTGCGCCACGGTACCGGGTTCGATTCCCGGTCACAGCCTTGGGTGTTTAGTAAAAAATAAAAACATCATGAGCTGTCTAAATAGTCTGAAAAAGACTAAAAGCCAATAAAACCTTAAAAAAAATATTTGTTTAGTTACGTTTTTTTACAATATCTCTAAAACAAAGGCTAATTGAGCAAAATCATTTTTGGATCCGCTCACCCAAATTAACCTAGAAAAGTTGTTGGCTCCCCTGTGGCAAACAAAAAAGTACATTTTGTCAACCAGTGTAATCATCATATATAAATAGGTACAACGTGTGTGATGTAAAACATGGTGAGGTATTCCTTGATTAACATTTTTGTATGCTTTACCTTGATTTTTACATTTAATTCAGTATTATTTTTTTAGGTTTTCCCTCTCGAATGCATAAATGGGATAACATAACTAGCACTTGGAAGTACGAATCAGAGTGGACCAACGAAATTTCCATGGTTTTAACTGGGGCGGCTTTTTTGCATAAGTATTGGAGTTACTTGTACACCAAAGGCATGCCTTCAAACCTTAAAGACTGGGTCGATGACCACATGAACTGTGAAGACATTGCCATGAATTTTTTGGTTGCAAATGCAACAAATAAACCACCCATAAAGGTAATAAAAAAATCTATTTTTTGTTTTTGTTTAAAATTGTTATAAATAAGGCCTATTCTAATTAGACGTGCAAGGCAATTTTTACTTTCGTGCAGTGCACGTTCTCAGCACAGCAAGGCACCGACTCGGTAGTGAATTTGCAATTTTTTTTGCCAATATTTGTTTACCTTTTTCTCGCTTTCTTTTTCTATTATAAGAGCATTTTTTATTATCGTGGAAGTCGAGAACATCAATTTTTACAAAGCTGGAAACTACTAACCCGCTGCAAGCCTGTCGCAGCGCTAATTGCCACAGAAATCGAGCATGTGCTTTGCCGTTGCAACGCGTTGCTGATCCGGCTCCTTGCACCTTTAAGAATTGGCCCTGATGATTTATTATTGATGAATCAGAAACAAAAATTGACATTTTTTGTACCCAACATTAATTAAAATTAAAATTTATATCGTTATTTGATATCCCTGGGAATTTTGAAAAAAGTAAGTAAGTTTTACATGTAAACATACACATTTATCTTCATTTTCATCCAATTTGTAATTTTTTTCGCCTACTAGATTTTGAGTTAATACCATCATCTTCTGTTTTTCTCATGGCCGCCATATTGGAATTTTACATAGATAGGAAACAGATCAAGGAATCCAACAATGGATCAAACTACATAAGTTATGGTGGCCGTTATAAAACCAAAATATGGTGATGTTAACTCAAAATATAGTGGCAAAGAAATTGGAGAAAAATGTAAAACCTCCTTTTTCTAAAATTCAAAGGAATAACGAAGTTATGGGTCATTCTAAAAAATGTGTAACATTTGATGGGATTACCCTTTCTATCTTAAAAACTTTCAAAGTTAAGTGAGATTTTATGTCAACTCAATGTACATTACCATAAATTTAGGCCTTTTAATCAAAATTTTAAATTTTGCTTTAAAATATGAAAAAATATGTCCACACTACGTAATACGTCACGTAGTGTGGACTGTTATCGTTTTAAAATTGCAAGTTTGCATAGAAATAAATATCCAATGTACTCTTTTTTCTAAAAATGTTTTCCTGATACCCTAGTTAAAACAACGAGAAGAACATTTTTGTGATTTTTTTTATTAAATTTATGCAATACATGTTAAAAATTAACAAATATACTTGTAATCAAAATCCCCATCACTAGTGTGGACATCCTAAAACACCAATATTTGAACCACAAGCTGACAATAACGGAGTCATGGGCGGCCGTGTCAACATTCCTATTATAACCACAAAAAAGTACATGTCAGTCAGTTTATATAAAAGATTAATTGCGATCTTTCTGTTTTATTGAGAGTGTCTCGTTGAAACCATCACCCGTGAGGTTATATTTAAAAAGTAAGTAACTTAATTTTTATAAAAACAAATAGAATTTTATTTACAGTTTAGGAACTAGTTTCTGCTGAAACAATGTGCAGGGTGCATCTCTAATCCTTTCATAAAAATAAATAAAACGTTAAAAAACTTCGTATGGACGACACTTTAGGTCCACACCAGTGATACATGCCCACTTGAGTGATCACATTTTTGTAATAATCATTTTATTTTTATTATATAATCCGCGTATTGTATAAACTACTATTTTTTTGCAATAAATGTATATTGTATAGATGGCTAAGACCAAGCAGCTCAGTTAGGATGAAAAAATGGCTAAAAGAAGAGGACAGAAAAGACTTAGTATGAGAAGAGCTAGAGAAAAATTATATACCAATCCTGAAAACATGATGAAGTAAAACGAAAAAGAAGAGACAAATTATAAACAAATGAAAAACGAGGAAAAAATTAAGGGTATAGCAAACATGACTTCACGTTTACAAAGGGCCATGAGAAAAGATTGGAGGCAATATCGAAAAATATCGAAATAAAAGTGAAAAGAAAATAGAACAATGTGAGCCCCCATATAGCCCAAACGACAATCTGTTTCTTCAAACCCTTCTAAAAGTCTAAGAAGTCGTCAAGCTTTGAGAAAACAAAAGGCTAGGAACAACAGAGAGATTCTTAAACGAGAAAACGACAAACTTAAGCATAAAATATTTATTCAAAAGCAAAAGATAAATCAGCTAAGGGTCAAGATTTTACGAAACAAAAAAATAGAGAAGAAGGATTCGCTAACCCAAAAGATTGAGGAAGAGTTAAGAGGAGTTAAGGTCAATGATTTTGTGAAGAGAAAGTTACATTTTGGAGAAGTACTTGTACGACAGATTAAGAACAATTTTGAAAATTAAAAGGGTTACAAAAAAAGACAACTTGCTAGATTATTGGACGGGAGTCTTATTAGACAATATAAATATGTATCTGGAATTAGATCAAGGACATCCTTCAGGCAATTTAAAAATCAGGAGAAACAACAACATGTACAAAATAAGGGCAAAAAATGTGAAAAATGCAGTCATAGAATTTTTGGAACGAGAGCAGCCGCTAAGCAACGATTTAAAGCAAGCTATACTTATAAAAATATAAGCTATCAACAATTTTGTAGATTTCGCCCGTTCTGGGTACACGGTACTCCTGAACTACTTTTAAATCAAAAGTCGGGCACCTGACTTTTTTCTTGCTTTAATATGTTATAGGCCTAAACTAAATAGTTAACACAAAAATTAAAATAATCCTTAAAGCCGTTTGTAATAAAAATCCAAAGAGGTGAAAATATAAGCAAACTATTGGGAATAATATAGAAAATGGTTACTTTGTTAGATGTAACTAAAATAAAAATGCAATAGTAAACTTTTCTAATATTTAATATTAAAGCATACTTTTTAAACACAAACAACACATAAAAAACTAAAAATTAATACTAGATTAAACAAGTTATATGTCATTGCTATTATATTCCTTATCAGCTTTTAAAAGTCTGTTTGCGTAAAGTTCATTATTTCAGCTAACTATATTTAGACCAAATCTTGGCAAAATCATGGTAAAGAGATTCCACAGCTTGCTCACTATAAAGTCCTAAATCAGATTTTCTTTTTTCACAAAATTGCTGGACATGAAAAAATACTGAGTGTACTTTTGGAGTTACTGGAATATTCAGTGCCATATACGTTCTTTTAAATTCTGAAATACGTTGTACATATTCTTGCTCAAGGCTGTTTTCAAAACAACTTTTACAAAACATAAGAATTGTGTATATATGTATACATATTTAAGACAGACCATGCAGCATAATTATCTTAGCAAAAATACTGAACTTTTCGCAGACTTTTGAAAGCTGTCAGGGAATATAACAACAATCACATATAACTTGTTTAATCTAGTATTTATTTTTAGTTTTTTATGTGTTGTTTGTGTTTAAAAAGTATGCCTAATTATTAAATATTAGAAAAGTTTACTATTGCATTTGTTTTTTTGTTACATCTAACAAAGTAACCATATTTCTATATTATTCCCAATAGTTTGCTTATATTTTCACCTCTTTCGATTTTTATTAAAAACGGCCCTAAGGATTATTTTAATTTTTTTGTTAACTATTTAGTTTAGGCCTATAAAACATATTAAAGCAAGAAAAAAGATAGGTGCTCGACTTCTGATTTAATAGTATATTCTGTAACAAGTTTGGAATTCAGCATATTCCGCTCGACTGAAGAGTTTGTCACACGAGCCGATGGCGAGTTTGACGGTTTCACGAGAGCGGAATATGCAATTCCAAACGTGTTTCAGACTATACTTTTTCTACGTTTCCAATAAATACCATGGGAAAAATAATTTAATTGGAAGAAAGTGAGGTTGGATCGTTCATCCGATGATAGAATATTTCATTCTGTAACACTTTACGGAATATATGTCATTCCATAGATAAAAGTGATATTAGAAGGTCAAATTCCGTAATAGAAGTAGAAAAAAGTAATTCAGGCGTACTGTGGGTAGTAATTCCATTGACTAAAATACGCAACACGTGTTTGTGCAAAATTGACACAAATATGGCTTTGTTAGTATCAGCCCTTAATAAAAGTAAAATATTTAAGGACTATTCCCAACCCTCACAAGTTATTAAAAATATTTGCTGTGTAGCTCCACCAGGGGAACAACCCAGAGAAAAATGTTTAGAAAGATCCTGTGATCTATGTAAGGAAAACATGGTAAATTTTGAAAACTTTAAGATGAACTTACTTGTTATGAAACATGGACAAAAACTATTAAAGAACGTATTGAGTGTACGAAAGCTGATCTGCTTAAGATCTTTAAAAACAACATTTACATTTTTATGAAACACGTTTGTAATATTTCACATCAGTTTAGTATACAGGACCTAAAAAGGAATTTATATGAAAATATCTGTATATATGCAGAGGAAATCCAGTCTGCACATTTTGGGGGATCAAAAAGCCAAATTACATTACACACATGCGATTTTTATCATTTAGGTCTTCCCGAAAAACTAATTAAGTCTACTTGTTTCTGTACTCTATCGGAGAACCTTCGATAAGCAATTAGGAAAATAGTGCGAGGACTAAGAGTAAGTGACGGACCTTCCACATAGTACCGAAACAAATTAATGTTACAGTTAATGGTTAAACATTTAGCAAAGAAGTTTAATGTGGAAATAATTATGTGACATTACTCTGAGGGTGGCCACGGAAAAGGCGCACCGGAAGGGGTTGGTGGATGTTTAAAAAGGACAGCGGATGCTGCTGTCGCAAACGGCACGGATTATTCTGATTTTAATAAACTTATCTTCTTACTGTCAGAATGTTCTAAAGGGATACATGTAAATAAAGTTAACCCCGACTTATATGAAGATATTGATGAAATAATTCAGAATAACCTTTAAAGGTACTATGTTGATTCACCAGATTTCTTGGTCTAAAAATCAAATGGATGTCCTTCACGCAAGAAGACTGAGTTGTCTCCGATGTGAACCTGATGATGTTTGTGTTCATTACGAACTGGGCCAAATATTTGTTTTGCAAGCTGTAAAGATTTCCAAAAGTTATCATATAAAAATAAATAAATAAAGTTTTTATTGCATATTCAGTACAATACAGA